TCTAGACCTGGAGACAGTTAGTCTAGACTGCACTGCAACTAAATAATAGAGGATGTTTTTAACAAAAGTGGTGGCGGGTGCCCTTTATGATCCAAGAACACTTTCCTGGATCTCTTATAATAGTCAAGGTTGAAGGTAGGGTTGAAGAAGTTTATTACAGGATTAGTTCAATGACATGAGTCTACAAATAAAAAGTAATGTTGCCAGTTTGCATGTTATAGCGTTAGATTATTGATTAGGGTTAGAGTGAGTGTTAGGATTAGAGTTAGGGGAATGATCAGTTGCATTTAGATGTTTGCCAGCAAAATGAAAGTCAGTTAAAGAAAAGACAAGCACAAAGCATCTACAGAAAACCATGAAAAGGAAGCACTACCAGTTATTGCTTTCCACTTTAGCACTGTTTTGTTGAATTAGCATGTTAAATGGAAATGCCATCTTTTTTTTTAAAACTTCTGCAGAATTAAATGATGCGAACAAAGTACTTCAGAGCAGTTTCTATGTGAAATGCTCCATTCCAGAGAAACTGGAAATTGTCCACCACGGTGGTGACAGGAAGAATTTAATGCCTCTAAAAAAGTCATTACATAGCAAAGGTTATGACTACACTGCCTGATGCCTGAGACACTGTTTTGTGACAGTGTTGAGATAAAGTTTGGGCCTTTCTTAATTAGTCCATTGTGAGAGGTACATGCAGGGTACAGGCAAAACAGTACTTGAATAGATCTTGATTTTTGAGATTTTACCATTATAAACATTACAAAACATGTCAGGAGACATGTGTAGCTTCACTGGTCATTTTGCATAGTCAATAAAATGGCTGTAATTGTGTATCCATTGTGGCCCCTGGTTCCTATAAGCACCACTGTAAAGAAATCAGTCGATAAGTTTGTCTTCAAGGAAGAGTTTCACATCAAACCACTCTGAATTGAATTATGCAGGAATGTTAACAAATCAGTGGAATTCCCCTTTAAGGTAACAAGCCTTGTTCAAGTTCGATGATGGATATCTGGCTAACTGCGGGAGCAGTTTTGACGTATGTGGACTTTTTCATACTGATAAATGCTGCCATTTAAAAGTCACTTGCAATGGCAATATTATTGTTATGTTTTATAACAAACAATATGTCCAATGACTTATATAGAGTAATTTTAAATGTCATTTTCTTCACTCTCGTTTTCTGCATGGAGATTTGTTCTCCACGTTTGAAATATGATGCATTCTAGATATTCATTTTTTATGTTCCACAGTTCTACAGCTTTCTTGGACTTTTCTTTTTTTCTTAATTTCTTCTTAGAGCAATTGTTTGAAGATTTTCTAACATCATATTGGAATCATTTTATACATATATCTGCAGCAACATAACTGTGATATTACTCCAAATGTAATATTGTAATATAATATATAATACATCACTATAAATATATATATAGTGCAGAGCATATAGTGTGTGTATATATATATATATATATATACACATATATATATATATATATATATATATATACTATGGTCTGCACTACTTAAAGCTAGAAATTAAAGGAATGGTTCATCATAAAAAAAAAAAAAAACATTAAACAATTTTCCACTTACCCCAGTTGGAGTTGATCAGCCGAGGCATGTTTGATGTCCAAATTTGTTTCTTTAGTTTAGTGCTGCAGCTATGAGACTAACATTGCTAACAGACACTGGAAGTCAACAGTCACCAAAATCTTTTTGCACAATTTAAGGTCGCACAGACTTCTGTTGTCACTGTTGTTTAGAGCACAATAGGACTTACAGTGAACTATAAAAATGAACAAAACCTCAATATGTAGCTGAATGAATCAGACAGCTACTTCAGACATAACAAGAAAGTCATACTGTGTCTTAACACAGTACACTGTCAGTTCTGCACAACCTTAATGCAGACCTGGATGTGGTTGGAGCTGGTTAAGGAGTTTTGCTGGTTAAGGAGTTTTGCGGATGACTGATCATTTGAGTAACATTTGGGTGACTTCTAGTGTTTGTTAGCAACGTTAGCCTCATTGCTCAAGCACTTAACTAAAGAAGCAAAATATGGACATCAAACATGTGTTGGCAGATGAACTACATTAAATTAAACTCATGAAAATTATTATTATTATTTTTTGCTGAACTAATCCGTGAGTATAATGAGAGATGCTGGTCTCAGATCAGTGTAAAAAGGGGCAGTCAGTCAGACTCTGCTCTGGTAAGTGTGCACACCCAGCCCACAGACTGCCAAGGCATAACAGATGGTGTTGTCTGATCATTACAGTGTGTATATATGTGTGTGCATGCAAAGACAAAGAAGGCGTTGGACCAAATGAGAGCAGCACTGCCATTGTCTCTGGTTACTATTCAATAAGGAATGTGTTTAATTAGAGGCAGAGCTCTGCCATAACGAGAGATGGTGTTCTCATTATGAAGGCAGCGGCAGACGGATATACAGTCATTCAGCAAATTGGCTAAACGGGCTTTGTGTAAACATGTGCAATCTTTCTAAAGAGTGTTTTTGTGTGTGTGCGAGTGTGCCACCCACACGCAGTTGACTAAGGCCACTTTCATGCTGTGCAGTATTGTGTTAAACCTCTGAATATGACTTGTGAATAGCAGAGATTTTAGCAGGTCTTGAGATGCTGCTTTATGATGCATAGAGAGAGCTCTTCAGGAAACTGTTCCTACTTTGAGTCCAACTGAGGGTTTATCTGAACGTATAACGTGTCACTTATTGTACATAAAGGACCAACTATATTGGCATATATTGTGCACTGAGTAGCCAGTATATATATAACAGCTACCTTATACAGACTCACTGGCCATTTTATTAGAAACACCTACCATAGGTACACGTCGTAGGTTTACAATTACTGACTGTAGCCCTGTTTCTGATACAGCTGATGTAATGCAGTGTCAGCACCACAGAATGTACTCTGCATTCACATACTTATGCATGAGTTGTTTTCTGACCCTTTTTGCTCCAATATGGCCCGGCTATGTCCTGGAGCTGGACGTTACCTTCCATGAGTTGGAACACGGCTCATGGAAAGGAACGCCCCCTGCTGTTTCTCATTGGCTCTTTCTCTGGCATCTTAGAACAACAAGCATGGCAACTTTATATTACTCCTAAAGCTTTTATTGTTCTATTGCAAATGTCTACTAGCTAATTTAGCTAATGTAAGCTTTCACTCAAGTTAAGCTACTGCTTAGGTAGCCTAGCCAATAAATCCAGTGAATCTCTGGAGCTTTTTCAGCGTTAGAGCTTCTTTCTGTGAGGCGAAAAGCCTAAAGTAATTACTCAAGTAGTTTTTCAATTAATTATTTATTCTTACTTGAATAATTTTCTTAATTAATACAATTCAAGAGAATTGTAACTACAGCAGCAACACTCCTGCCTGCTAACTAATAACAGAAGTACATGAAGTGTTGCCAAACTTACTGAAGTGTAATTATATTCAGAGTTTATGTAAAATACAACTAGGGCTGTCACAGTCATGAAATCTTAGCTGATTATCTGTCATATAACAATTTGCGATTAATAATGTGGGTTGTGGGTGTAGTGGCTGTGTGTGTTGCACCATCTGGCTAAGAACTTGTGTTGTTTTTCTAAGACCCATAACTCGTTGCAGTGAATGTCCTTTCTGCTTTCTTGTATTCTGTCTCAGTCAAACTGATGAAAATGCATCCATTCATATTCTGCGTGTGATACGATATGGAAAGTGGCTGTGGAAAATAACTGCAGTCTTATATAATTGCCATTATCTCAAATAACTGCAATCGGGTGATTAAGTAATTGTGACAGGCCTAAATACATGTTGGTTAGAAATAGAGCAGTACCCTAGCATTCTTAAAATGTATAACAGCTAGCGGTCAGCCGTCAGTATCCTGGCAACATCATGACGTATTGCTGCTTTCAAAGCACATCTCAAACATGATTCAGTTGCAGGTACCTTTGTATGTAGATTCCTTTGTAGATTCGGACACAACCTTCCTTTTATTTATATCTACCATACTGAGTTATGTGAAAAACTTACCGTCAGGCTATTCCTTTCTGTAAGGCACAGTCTGTCCCATGGAGGATAACACCCAGATCCAGGATGCATGTAGACCCTTCTCTTTTGCTCTGTTGATGACTGCAAACACACATGCAGATCCTGCTGGTGTGGGTTTATGCCAGTTTTCTTCCTTTCAAAGCTACTTGTGGAATAGGAGCACTGCTGACCAGATATAAAAATATCCAGCCAGCTGTAGACCTGTCGTCAGAATGGTTAGATGATGACTGAAACAAATTATGCATGAAAAAAATGCAATATGTAGTCTCTAATGTAATATGTAGTCCTATCATACTTACATGAATGCAACACACTACCAAGTCAGTGTCACTGATTTGCTGAGAATGGTCCATCACCACATGATATGTGGTTAGTTGTGGTCCTATGGTGGTCCCTTTCCACTGCTGGACAGGAAAGAGGGGGGCTGAAAAATTGTGCAGCTACAGGTGGGCTATATTCAGCAACTGAAAACGTCTAAAATGCACATGTATGGAAGGTGTTCCTGATAAAATGGCTAATGTGTGCAGCTACAATGTCTAATAAATTTGCAATTCAGTCTATTGGCATATACTACACACTCCAGTTGCACAGAACTGCAGCTTCCTCTCTCACCTCCTACAGCTAGTGTTGCACTATTCCTGAAATGGAAACAGAGTCATCAAGCACTTGTATAGTTGGCTGCTGTCATTGCTGTATGCCTGGATTGTACTTGCCTTGCTAGTAAGTCTCTTTAGATGTATCTGCCAAAGGAATATATGTGATGTAAATAGATCTACAGTCATTATTTAATTAAATCCAATTCAGTTTGTTATTTATAACAGTTATTGTCACAAAGCAGACTTCCATAAATCCAGACCCCTAATCAGCAAAGGCTTTACAATTACTTACATTTTTTCTGCTGAATGCAAGAGCACTAATTAAATATGTGTGTGTGTGTGTTGGGTCCTGCAGGGGGAGCTGCTGAGTCCATGCCGCTGTAGTGGGTCAGTGCGCTGTACTCACGAGCCATGCCTGATAAAGTGGATCAGCGAGAGAGGCTCCTGGAGCTGTGAGCTGTGCTACTACAAGTACCATGTCATCGCCATCAGCACCAAAAACCCACTACAGGTGATCTACTCTCGGCCACGCGGCAACATTTAGAGCTTTTCTTGCTGATTCAACTTACAGTTTTCTGTTATGATGAAGCTCATAGTAAGATGAGTCATGCCTGGTGGAGCTGGGAAAGAACAAACATTGCTGTGACCTTCCAGCATTCAGTCTCAGTAACAGACATGTAGGCTGCAGCTCAAAGGGAAAGTAAACGTAGATCAATAAACGATCTTTAAAGATTAACAGTTTTTGTATAGCAGCTATATAAAAAGGGTTTAAGAAGGTTTGGTTTAAGAAGAGGGAATGACATGAAAAAACAAACAAAAAGCAAACAGACATAAAAAACTTCGCTGGCTACTGTTAGATATTCACGTTCTGTGTTGGGCTGTTATTGGTCTCACATTATTGTTGACAACATTTTAATGCATATGTAGAAAACTGCAACTTAAATGAAGCTAGTGCTGACAGATCAGATTGTCATCTTTTATTGCGCAATAATTTTAAGAGTTCAAAGTGCTTTGCCTTTTCATTTTCATCATAATCGAACTCCTAATAGAGGTACATGCCTTCTCCGGAACTCATTAATCAGCACAACCTCTGTAACCATGGAAATGGGGATAGCCCTTTTAGCCCAGGGATCATTTATCAGTGTTGTAGTCTACTTCAGATGGATTTTTACCAGGTCACGTTATTTATTTAGATCATTCAGAGTTTGACAGTCAGGCAGCAAGAATAGATCTTCACTATTTAGCAATTTCACCTGCACTTCAAGTGGAGGGGTCAAAGAAAAGGGGCAGTGGTGGGGGCAGTGCTGGTCATTCCTGTACACAAACTACACAAGTTGTGTACTGCCACTACCTACATGGGGCCCTCACAGCAAGCATGACAGCATATTTCAAAGCTATGCACTGAAAAGGCATATTAGACATTTCTGAAGAGCCCAGGTTACCATAACAGGCCTAAACAATTTGTGTTGTTCATATCAAAAGTATAACTGGTCACGTCACGTGTAGGAACAATGAGCCTCGTTCACCAACTGTTCCTATGTGGAAACTTCTTAAAAACCAAGTTATGCAGGTTTCATGAAGACTCTGACATTCACCAGTGTTTCTTATTTGGGGTTTGTTCTTAGATATGAACAGAATCTGCATACACTCACTACAAACAATTCTGCAGTTTAATAACACGTCATTAATCTGACGTAGACTTTTTCTTAGGACCTTTCTCAAGAATGAGTTCATAGTAGCTGAGGCAGACTTGACAGGATGGCTTCAAAGCAGGGGGTCATTTAGAGCCCCACTAACCATTAAGGGGAATTAAGAGTTATGTACACGTAATGTAAGTTAAACATTACTTGGGCAGAATGATGAGGATATGTGGATTAGATATATATTGATGGGGGGCAAGTCAGGTTTTGCTTGGGGCTCCAAGAGGGCTAGGACCAGCACTGGGTAGAAACTTACTGAGGTCTAAACATACAAAGATTTAGTGTTTTTTACCAGCTTTACCTAAAGATTATAGTTTCTCAAACATGTATTTATCCATCTGATTCTCAACTGAGCTGCTATCTGTTCAGTTAGACTGAAACATATTTCTGTATACTTTCGCATTTAATATTCTTCCATTTCATGTTTTAACTGATGTCAGGATTAGTGGTTATATTCCCTCATTACCCTGCTTGCTCTTTTATGGCTATTGTTGCTTGGCTCAGTTGGTTTGGGCTGTTTTAACTGGTGTATGTTCTCCATCTCTCTCTCTCTCTCTCTCTCTCTGTTGCTATGCAGTGGCAGGCCATCTCACTGACGGTGATTGAGAAGGTGCAGATAGCAGCAGCTGTGCTTGGCTCCCTCTTCCTCATCGCCAGCATCTCATGGCTGGTGTGGTCTTCGCTTAGCCCTTCAGCCAAGTGGCAGCGGCAGGACCTGCTCTTCCAAATCTGTTACGCCATGTATGGCTTCATGGACCTGGTGTGCATCGGTAAGCCCAAGGGGGGGGGTGTGTCTAGGCAAAAGTCAAATGATAATGCGATTTTACCCTGATGCTTATCTGCCTGTGGTCATCTCCACAACCTAGCTCTAGTATCATTCTTCCGATGAAGTGAATGTTTCTGGTTACAGCTGTTGCAGCTGTACTGCAATGTCAGCATCATAGAATGTGCTCTGACCTTATGTACTCATGTAGGGTATGTTTTCTGACCTTTCTTGGGTTATTTGTGACATCTGTGAGATCCTGCTGGTGTGGTTTCATGCCAGTTTCCTCCCTTTCAAAGCTATGTGTGGTGTATCTTCAGCCTGCTAAATGTTAGTGAGTTTCAAAGGCCCGTGAGGTATTTATCAGCAAAAAAAAAAAACCCTTCCTCCACCAATTTGTAATGTGAGATGTTGTTTGACCACTTTACTTTTTGCAAATTCAGCATCATAAAATGTCTAATCTATGGAATGTGGCATTAAGGAGAAACTGCTGTTCAAAATGGCATCACTATTATAGAACCAGTATTTTAAACCTGAAAATAAATCAGTTGTTTACACCGATCAGGCATAACATTAAACATCCTTGTTTCTACACTCATTGTCCATTTTATCAGCTCCACTTACTATATAGGTGCACTTTGTAGTTCTACAGTTACAGACTGTAGTCCATCTGTTTCTCTGCATACTTTGTTAGCCCCCTTTTACCCTGTTCTTCAGTGGTCAGGACCCCCATGAACCCTCACAGAGCAGGTATTATTCGGGTGGTGGATCATTCTCAACACTGCAGTAACACTGATGTGGTGGTGGTGTGTTAGTGTGTGTTGTGCTGGTCCGAGTGGATCAGACACAGCAGTGCTGCTGGAGTGTTTTAAACACCTCTGTCACTGCTGGACTGAGAATAGTCCACCAACCAAAAATATCCAGCCAACAGTGTCCTGTGGGCAGCGTCCTGTGACCACTGATGAAGGACTAGAGGATGACCAACACAAACTGTGCAGCAGCAGATGAGTTATCGTCTCTGACTTTACATCTACAAGGTGGACTGACAAGGTAGGAGTGTCTAATAGAGTGGACAGTGAGTGGACACAGTGCTTAAAAACTCCAGCAGCACTACTGTGTCTGATCCACTCGTACCAGCACAACACACACTAACATACCACCACCACGTCAGTGTTACTGCAGTGCTGAGAATGATCCACCACCCCAATAGTACCTGCTCTGTGAGGGTCCATGGGGGTCCTGACCACTGAAGAACAGGGTAAAAGGGGGCTAACAAAGTATGCAGAGAAACAGATGGACTACAGTCTGTAACTGTAGAACTACAAAGTGCACCTATATAGTAAGTGGAGCTGATAAAATGGACAATGAGCATAGAAACAAGGAGGTGGTCATAATGTTATGCCTGATCAGTGTATTATTGGTGTTGAAATTTAGTTCAACTAGCGAAATTTTCAACTAGTGCAAGCAGCTTTTTGCCTCTAGTTCTTCCTTGCGATCTTCACATAGCAAAGTCCCCACCAGCACTATATTGAGGTGAACCTGGGAGAGAAGGCAGCTGTCAGGCGCAGGCTAGTTCCTGCTAAGAACTGTGGGAGCCTGTCAATGAATTACAAATGGCAACAGCACAGAGCGCTAGCAGACTAGCCCCTCTCCTGGCGTACTGAGGGGCCTTCTATTTCTGGAGCAAGTCATGATGTATTAGGACTACATAGAAGGACGGGATACAGGCTAAGCACAGGAATGGTGACACTAACTTTAAACTAGGACCTGTACTAAGATATGGCAGCATAGAAACAGCACACATGCTGGGCTAAGCCAAGCCTCAGTCTGAGAGGATGAGACCGTGGGCGTTATTGAGAGGATTAATTCTTGGCTACAGTAATAACAGTATATTTATTCATAAAAGCTGACAGTCCCACTCATCTAGGCATTTAAGTGCACAGGAAGAGCGAAGCAGTCTAGACATATTCAGTCTTCACAGTACAGTTTATAGAGATTCTTCAAAAAAAACGCTAATGTTGCAAACAAAGAATGATTCACAGTAGTTGAGCAAATGGACGCCAATTGGTCTCTACTAACTTAGTCTAGAACTATTCAGGTCTGCACAAGTCTAGACCTGTTTTTTGCACATTCAGGTTTGCACAAACACTTAATTTTTAGGCTAATTTTGCTAACAAAGAGTGATAGCTAGTAGTTAGCAGAAAGCAAATGGAACACTAATCCCTGCTCGATTTCATACATGATGCTTCTTTGTAGTCTTTTTCTTCGATATGTCTGAGAGGGATAGGGATTTATCAAGGACCCGTTCTGCTAATTCAGTGACATTGTTTAAGACAAGAACTCATCTTAGATCATTTTACATCAGAACTAATCTTGCTAATCTCTGAAAGCAGCTGATAGCAAAGGAGTGCTTTTGTTTTTCTGTATTTCATAATCATATTTGGGTGAGTGTTGAAGAAAAACAACAAAGAAACAGAGAAAATAGAGAGAGGGGGGGGGGGAGGGGGAGAGAGAGAGAGAGAGAGAGAGGGGTGACAGACAGAGTCTAATCTGGCCTTCTTATGATGTTGGTCCAGTTATAATCCGCTCAGTGTGTCTCCACGAAAACACAAAGCGCACCAAGAATGGGGTGTAATTCAGGCCATGAACACACAGAAGCATGAAATGAAATTTTTTTACACTTTCTTTCTCTCTCTCTCTGTCTCTCACACACTCTCTCTCTCTCTCAAGCTTCTCTCTTAATTAAATGATAAAACTGTGCATCAATTAAGTGTCAGCTGATAAGTGTGGATCTGTTTCGCAGTGTGGCGTGTGACAAGAGCTGAGGGAGGATAAGCCAGAGGAAGAAAGAGAAAGACAGTAGAGGGAGAGCGAGACAAAAGAGAGGGAGGGAAAGAGAGGAAGGGGAAGAGAGAGAGTGCGGTAGAGAGGACAGCGACAAAGAGAGGGAAAGAGAAAGGGGGAACAGAGAGAGTATGGTAGAGAAAAGAGAGAGAGAGAGAGAGAGAGAGCAAGCCAAGAGAGGGAAAGAGAGAAAGGGAAGTAGAGAGAGGAGGAAAGAGGAAGAGAAAGTATGGTAGAGAGAATAAGAAAAGAGAGAGGGAAAGAGAGAAAGGGAAGTAGAGAGGAGGAAAGAGGAAGAGAAAGTATGGTAGAGAGAATAAGAAAAGAGAGGGAAAGAGAGAAAGGGGAAGAGACAACGAGAAAAGGGAGAGAGAAAGAGGGAAGAGAGAGTACGATAAAAGAGAAAGAGCAAGAAAAGAGAGAAAGGGGGAAGAGAAAATACGGAGAGAGTGAGAAAAGAGAGGAAAAGGGAGATGAGAGTGATGGAGGAAAGAGACAAAGGGGAAGAAAGAGAGTATAGGCTAGAGGAAGAATCAGAAAAGCAGTAAAAGCAGTAGAGAGAGAAAGAGAGTGGGAGAAAGGGAAGATGAGAGTGGAAGAATAAGCAAAAGGAAAAAACAGGGACAGTAGAGAGAGAGGAGATAGAGGAGATATGAGAGAGAGACAGAGAGATACAGTGGGGGAGATGAGAGTGAAGATGGAGATTTCTTCAGTCATCAGTGTGATATAAAAGGCTGGGTGGGTTTGGGGGGGTTTTTCCTCTGACAGCTGTGTGAAATATCAGCCTCTGACTGAGACCCTATTCTGTGTCATTGTGTCACAGCTGGCCTATAAAAACATGAGAAATACGACCAGGCCTCTGGGAGGCTGTTACACACACACACACACGCGGAGGGGGAGTCTCTGGCCCTATTAGAATGACAGGCAGGTGGAAATGGAGAGCGGAGGAGCTGCTGGATGTAAAGTGGAGTCTGTTAGACACTCGTTTGCCAGATTAAAGGGAATAGTACGAGTGTGTGGTCTGAGTGGAGCAGAGAGTGAATGGCTGGCTGAACAATAGTGCTGTCTGGACTGATTCAGTCACTAATCTTACACACGTGAGGGAATGTGTACGTGTGCGTGAGGGCGAGATCAATGGCTGCGTCGCACGGACTTACTCCCAGTGATGTATCGCCCTGTCTCAGCACGCGGCCACAACAGATGAATGACCCGGGAGCGAGCGAGAGAGAGAGAGAGAGAGAGAGAGAGAGCAAGGTAAAGAAAGAAAGACCGGCAGTAGAGAGAGAGAATGAAAGGCAGTACAGAGAGAAAAAGAGAGAGAAAGGCAGTAGAAAGAGATGGAGTAAGTTAGGGAAAGAAAAAGAAAGGCGAGAGAATAGGTTAGAGAGAAAGAGAGAAAAGCAGGAGAAAAAGCGGAAGAGACAATAAGCGAGAGAAAGAAACAGAAAGGCAGTAGGGAGAAAAAGACAGAAAGAATAAGCTAGAGGAGGAATAAGAAAGGCAGGAGAGAGAGGGAGAATAAGTTAGAGAACAAAACATAAAGGCAGTAAAAACAGAAAAGGGAGAGAGAATGACAGGAAGAATAAACAAGAGGAGGAAACAAACTACAGAGAGAAAAGACAGAATAGGTTAGAGAAAGAAACAGTAAGGCAGTAGAAATAGAGAGAGAATAGACAGAGAGAGATAGAAGAGTTAGAGAACGAAAAATAAAGGTAGGAGAAAGAAAGAAGAAAAGAATAACAGACAAAGCTGATGAAGTGGAGGTTACGAGGGTCTAACAGTAATATTTCTTTACTGTTTAGTGTGTAAAGTCTGTGTCATTAGCCTACTGATAAATAAATGATAGCTATAAAAATGCTCAAAAGTACGAACAACATTCCAGTTCCAAGATGCTCTACTGTTTTAGCTACGCAACATTTTTGTTTTACAGAACTGTTGCTTCCTTTATTTGCTAACTAGCTAAGTCAAGTTAACCTCAATATGATGCAGTAATGGGTTAAGAGTAAACAGTTAAAGCAGCACTATGTAATATATTTCGTTAAAACTAAAAGAATTAGCTCCCGAGTGGCGCAGCCATCTCAGCATTGGCCCTCTCATCAGAAGACCGCCAGTTCGATCCCTGATGATGCTAAAGCCAGTAAGGATTGCACCCTGTGCCCCGCCATCGCCCAGTGTGATACCAGCCAGTGCAGGCATCTGTTAACTGACGCAAAAGAACTGGCGGTTAGCGTTCTCCTCCAAGCGTGTTCAGCTATCTAATGACGTTGCGTTAGCATCAGGTGGTGTCGGGTCTCGGAGAAAGCCTGTGTTTAGCTTTCACCCACCTAGCGCTGGTGGTGTTGTGTGACTAGGGGAGTCCTAACTAGTGGGTGGAAATGGATATGAGAAAATTGGGAAAGGATCCAAAAAAACTGAAAGAAGTAGCATTACTGAAAGTGTGCACCGCTGTGAGTCGCCCTGTAAAGCCTGAAACAGTCATCCAAAAGTCAGAGGTACTGAGAGAAGGCCTGTCTCAATGTTTGCGTCTCAAATGAAAAACATTATACTATCCAACATCCTCAGATGACACATCCTTCACCAAGTCTTGACTGAGTTTTATTCATACATTCTTTCAACAGACTCTCAAAATTCAGATTCCTCCACTTGTGGGGGTCCGGAGAACAATTAATGTTGCAAAATGTTCTTCCACTCTTTGCGTGCAAATGCAGAGAGGTCTCCAAATCCCTGAACTCCTACATAGTGATGCTTTAAGAGCCTTTGTGGGGCTTTAATGCTGATAATTATTGGAGTAATTCAGCAGAGGCCAGAGAAAGTGGCTGAGAACGACTGTTCACTGAAAAACAGACAGAAAAAGAGGATTTAGCTCAGGTAAGCTGAACAGAATCTGCTGAGGAAGTAAAACGCTAAACTTAGAAAGCCTTTCATATTAATTAAGGCCCAAAAGGATCATTTTAATGTCATTAGCCACAAGCCAGATTCTTCTGGGGTAACTGAGTGCTGTTGGTGGGGGAGTGTGTGAAATTCCTGTAGGGGAGTGAGAAATGACCCACTGATCAAAATTCAAGCATTGCCTCAAGAGCTTCCTCTAGTCAGCCCAATTTCCCCAGCTCTGGGGGAAGAAATGCCTTTAAATCGATACACAGCTCACATTCTCCACCAGTAATGAGAAGATCTGCAGTCTGAGAGAGAGAGAGAGAGAGAGAGAGAGAGAGGGAAAGAGAGAAAAGAGATAGAGCTAGCAAAACAGAGATTAACTGATAGATAAGGAGGCTTTTCTGGGGTGTTTATTTAGCGCGAGTGCGAAAGGCAGTGAAAAAGAGGGAGCGTGAGAGAAACAGAGATAAACTGCTAGAGAACAAGCCTCCTATGCAGTCTTAGAGAGAGAGAGAGGAGAGAGAGAGAATGGGGTTAGCTGATCTTACCTGATCAGATCACATTAGCATTAGCAGTACAATGTCTGAAATGCTTGCCATTATTTGCAGTATTTACCTCTGCTTTACAGCATTGAAGTAGAAAAAACGGTGGATTTGTTACCATCTCAATAGAATCAAGCCGTTTTCACACTCCTCTGCAAGCAAAAATAGCACTCAGTGTGTGTGAACGTCTGTGGATCAGCATGCGAGTGAATTGGGTGAGGGGCTGTGGGAAAAGCGACTAGGATGGAAGGATGAAATCGATAGAGCTGACACTGAGGCAGAATACCTCACAGAAGCCTCAACAACCAAATGTAATTTCAATTCTGTCAGTATTTAGTGTCTCCACTCGTTACCTTTATTACTGTCCTTTTCAGGAGGCTCACTTTCAGTTTTTCAAAGAAATCTGCAGGGATATTTTTCCACATCTCCAAAGTTCAGTCTTAGAAGGTGGTTACATTTTATGCTTCTCACAATCCAAGTAATCCCAATGTTGAGGTCTGGACTCTGGGGTGGTCAGTCCATTGTTCTGAGAACACCAGCAGCTTCTTTGCTTGATTTGCAGTCCAGTTCCTTTTCCCCAAATGTTAAAAAGAGCCATTTTGTCCTTTCAACAAAAAAAAAAAAACACCTTGGGAGCCACAACATTGTATGTCCATTTTACCATCATGGCTATAAATATGTCTCAGTATGTGCTGATGTACTAGTGTAGGCTAAAAAATATAATAGAAACAAAAACGCAGACCTATTTTGCGTAGACCTGTTTTAAGCTTTAGCTCAGCTATAGCCTTTTTCTCGCATCTCTGGCAGGAAACTTTTCCACAACAATAGAATAGTTTCTTGTAAAATGTCTCTCAACGTTTGATTTTATACGAGGCTGAAGTGGCTTCTCAATTTTCCCGTTCCACCTTAAATGGTGCCTGGGGCCCCAGAATGTAACTGCTGCACCATTTAAGGTGAAACAGGAGAATTCAAATGAGAAGCCGTTGAACGAGAATCTAATGTGAGACTCGCAACTTTTTAGCGTTCGACAGTTTCTCGTTGCGGATTAAACGTATCAGGAAACCGGAAACGTATCAGTTTCTTTGCTTTTTCGTTAGCTACAAGCTAGGTGAGATTGTTGTCTGCGTTGCTATGTAACCAGCAGTCTGTGCATCAACTTTCAGGGCTAAAGGATGAATAAGCAGTTATACATTACCTGCAGCGTTTAAGACCATTTATTGTTAAAACTGTGTTTGAACAACCAGCAGAGCTTTATTTTACTGCAAAGGATGATTATTTTATTTTTACCTAAAAATTCTGATTTGGAGCCGCAACAGGGCAGTAAAAGAACCGCATGTTGCCAACCCCTGTCACAGTGGAAGGATGGACAGAAACTCCTGTGGATTTTCAGATCTGAATCAGGAGTGGAGCTCGATTTTCTCCTCTCTCTCAAAGATGAAGGCTTTAAGTGCTGTTTATCTGATGGGGCAGTTTTGGTGGTCTGCCAGGTCTTACACGGTTCTTAAGAGTCTCATTTTCTCTAGTTCTGGAAAATCCAATCTTCTTTTGTCTTTCCCCTTCACTATGCAAGTGGATTATCTAATATTTAATATCTAATCTCCTCAGAAACACTTTCTGAAACATCAATTATTTATACTGAACGGCTGTTTTGACTGGAAATTAAATACATGAAAGGTGGTCTCTGAATTTTGCATAGTACTTTATGTCAGAAAGGAGTCTGCAATTCCTCTGTTTTCTCTGTGTGCAAATCAAGCTGTTCAATATTGCTTAAAAGTGTAGGACACCTAAACTCTGGGTTTTAAAGATCCTGTAGTAACAATACTTCACAGATATGTCCGGAAGACTTATCCTGTCCGAATAGCACAGAGATTATTCCACAGAGAGCATGAATGAAAAATCAGTGTGCAAAGATAAGCTTCTCAAAAAACTCAAAAACTTTCAAGGACTGCTGAAGAACTTCAGTACTTCTCACAGTTATGTCTGTCTCCTCAGCGATTTCCAAGGTGTTAAAGTTTAGAGACACAGCTTAGCTCCAAACACTCTAAACACCCAGAGGCCACAGCGGGCACTGTCAGCCTTCAGCTTTTACTCATGAAAGTATAAAGAAGAACAGGCAGCAGGGGTGTGTGTGTGTATGTGTGTGTGTGTAGCTTCCTGCAAGTACATTAAAACTGACTTTTACCAACAAAACTGACTTTTCAGGTCATTTTTGTTAGTCCTCACAACGTCTATCAAGCAAAAGAAGCTTAAAGCCAAGAGTTAATATTGTGTTAACCACAAGCCTAAATCATCACACTTCCCTAAAATCTTCTTGATAATCTTGCTTGTGATTTCAGATACTGTATGGTATACTACTACCATCTATAACTATCTATAAAAATGAAGCTCTCTTTAGCTGTGTGACGTTCTTTTGTCCATTTTATAGACAACAGTATGTGACACAGTGTCAGAAACCACATAAGCAAGTCTTCTGATTAACAGGAAGTCACTGTTTTAGGCAAGTGTGCATTAATTTAGGTATGCCATTAGCACACTGTTAACATGTCTATAAGCTTCTATTACTTGTTCACTAAACTAGCCTTGTTGCTCCAGTGCAAAACGAATTGACTACATTTGATGTAAATCTGTTTTACCTATTGACCTTTAGGAAGGTCCTCATAAAAGAGTGAGTTAAAATATATATGTACTGATCACTGTGTACCTCTCTTCGTCCCCACAGCTCTGATCGTGCATGAAGGCCCATCCGTGTTCCGCATCTTCAACCGCTGGCAAGCGGTCAACCAGCAGTGGAAAGTGCTAAACTACGACAAGCTGAAGGACACTGAGGACCCTCAAAAGGGCGGAGCAAGCAGCGGCCTGCGTTCCCTCACCCTGCCCCTCAGTCATCGGGTCGGGATGTCCCCACCCAATGGCTCCGGCCCCTCCCCCTCTACCTCCTCCCTCATGGCGGTAACCACGGCGACTGCAACACCTGGCACCGCCATCCCACTGCCACCGGCTGCCCCGGAAACTGAGGAATCGTCAGAGGCAGAGAACGGGCCGGCAGGCCTGGCCGAACATCACTGTGCGTACAACCTGCTCCAGCTGCTCAGCCAGCACCTCCGGCCACAGGAGCCCCGCCCGCCAGCCTCCGCCACTACTGGACAGACCGGCCAGCCAGGAAATAACAACCGCGAACTGGTCATGAGGGTCACTACAGTCTGAGGGTCAGCTTGACCTGTTAAACTACACAGCGCTTTGTGAGGGAATTTTTTTTGTGACATTTGCTAGCAAAGACATTTGCTAGTTTTCTAGGCAGCCAAGTTCAGATTTTACTCTGGAATTGACCGAAAGATGTTGAAAATAAAGAAGAAACAGATTTTTTCTCTTGTTGTGTGGAGGCGAGGAGAAAGTGAGCGAGGGTGATAGCAAAAATAAGGGAGTGAGAGAGTGAGCATGGTTTGATTCAGTTTTTGGTAGTAGCTGTCAGAGCACAGAATTCACAGCTGTGCTTTTTGTAGTGAAAAGGAACAGAGCAAGGGGTCAAAATGGTCAAGCTGAGATTGAAGCACTTGCATGTAAGTGGGCGGTTCATTAGAGCTGCAGTACAAAGCCACAGAAAGCAGAGAGCGTTTTCAAGCACAATCCTAACAATGCAAGGCAGGTGCTGTATACACACATAGCATTACATTTACTACTGGGTTGATGATGGTCAAGGTTTCATAGGAAAGAATAAGTACGTAGAATTAAACTGAAAGTCTACACTTAAGTTTACATTGAAACCCACCAGGATGTGTTCAAATGGGTCAATGACGCTGTAATGGCCGCCTGGCCTTAATAACGGACTCTCTTACTGACCTACTGACCAGGTTGTCTTACCATAGAGATGACCTGTAGCCATCGTAGAACCCCCCCACCCCCACCGGGCGAACGTGGCCCAAGTTGAGCGGTCTTTTTCTTTGACGGACTACTTTTGTTTACATTTGTTAAAATATGTGAAAAAAACACATTGCTACATTAAAAAAACAATGAGTGCAATGTAAAAGATTTAACTGTCGTTTCTCTTGGGATCTTGGGATTCGGGAGGAAATGATTGATGAAGAGCGGGGAAAGCAGTGACATCATCGCTTCCTGTGGACTACTCGACTGTCTGCTATTGTAGATCAATCCAAACCAATCAATCACTCACATGCTTTCCACTTTCACTGATTGGTTGTTGAGAGCAAATTCAGGCACTTAGCCAATATGTCTCTCTCAGGCTAGTGAGTAAGAAAGTGTGCTTAAAATAACAGTTTATTATAGAGGCCAAAAATCCACAATACGTTCAAAATTTACACAACAAAGTTTATTTTTTTTAAATCTCTGATCAGCTTCTCTTCATTATTCTAACAGACAATAGTTTATTGTTTATATATATATAAAAAACACTCATTATAGTCTACAGGTCTAATTTTGTTCTTTTAAAAAATCTCCATTTTATAATTTGGTCACACAGTGGCAAAGAACAGTTTCCAGCAGAACCTTTCAACTGTCAAACAGGTTTCCCTCTTACCCCAAATTCAAATTTTGAGTTATTAAGTAATCTCAGATAGACTTGTGTGATTTCGTGTGTATACAAATAGACAAACATCTGTAAACATGTTGTACCTAAAATCGCTAACTGCCACCTTGAAGCCTGACTTTCTATACCTTTGTCTGTTTTTAAAGATAACAATATGCCAGAAATTAGGGATGCGTCAACATTTCAACCACCAAAAATTTCGACTGAAAAACCAAAAGTGCCATTTTTAACTGAATATTTTTGACCAGATATTTACAGTGGCTGAAAATTTTGGTGGCCAAAATTTCAGTGCATGCCTAATTTCTGGCTTACTGTTTTTTAAACATGCCAAAAAAAGGTCAGACAATGTGAAATGATTAAATTGGCCTACAACAAAGTGACCTTTACAAAAAACCTTTACAAATAATTGTAAAGAAAGCGAGAAATTGCGGTAAATACTGCTATGTTTTCTTTGCTCTCCTACACCAGTCAACAAATTGTTTGAGTGGCAGTAACAACATTTAAGAACAGTTTTATACCACTTGAAAACACAACGCCCTGCTCGACATGCAGAAAACAGCAAAACAACAGGAGAAGAAAATGTCTCTGTAAGCGCGTCAATCCACCTGCAGCCTCAGTGTATGAAATAACAAAAACATTCACAAGCGGAAGTACCAAAGCACGAAGTAGATCCAAAAAATAATGGCATTCTTTGCCTTGGATGACAAATCATTCTCTGTTGTGAAGGACGTAGGATTTCATGGCACATATTGTAGTCTGCATACTTCAATAATTTTTAAGTTTATTCTATGTAAACTGTTTTTATTTATTTTCAGCCTTTTGGTTTTCAGCCCTGCTGATTTAGGCATACAGTTTACAGACAATGGTAAGTGGTGGGTTGAAAGCTTCCATTACTTGCTTGCTACATTATCTTTGTAGCTCCAGTGCAAAACTGGAAAAAACCAACCTCAGACACCAAACATATCCTGGCTGATCGACTACATTTGGGGTAAGAAGGAATTTGTGTACATTTGATTTTTCTTTGATTAACTATTCCTTTAATACTGGAAACATCAAGCGGAAACAATCAAGCTCTTTCCCATGAGTCCTGTTTTTATTATTACAAAAGTGATTCGTAAAAACATTCAGAATCAGGACATGGCTCCAGGGTTTGTTGTGTAGCTCTGTGATAACGGAAAGAGAAAGAAGCTGAACTTCAGTGAGGTTTGATCCATCAGTTCCACCAGACGACACCCAGGTCACCAGTTTCATTCACATTTTCAAGGAAAACATACTGGAGATTTGGAAATTTGGTGGACATAATATTTCAACTTGGTTATCCAAGAGCTTAACTATCATAAGGTATCAACACTTCTTTTTTTTATAGATCCCAAAGTTTCTACAATTGAAGGTGGTTTTTAACCTATTGAGCAAAGGTACAAATTAATGAAATCTCATCAATGTAATACAGTAAGCATGATGAGTGTTCCTGGCCAATTTCGTATAAAGAGGTAAATACTCATAGGAAATGTCAAAGATGACATCAGAGGTGAAACGTGAATAATCCTTAGTGTTTTTTACCGTTTAGACATTACAAAACTAGACTGCTGACAAACAAAGACATGATATGGGCATTAAAAAACATACTAGTCGGATTGTTGAAATGGACACGTGTTGACATCATTTTAAGGCTTTTTTAAAAAAAAAAACTGGTCTTGAATGGAGTCACTTCCTACATTTGTATTCTGCTAAAAGAAAATCACATTCTTGGTTGAAATTGCAGTGTAACGTGCAAAGGAAACAGCTCTACTAGTTCTACTAGTGAAATGAAGAGCCATTTGCCATTTTGCACAATCCTATACAAATAGAAGGAGGACAACAGACAAGCACAGTTGTTTTTTAATGCTACTGCAATTGACTTATCCATGCTCTGCCCACAAATGCTAGGTTGTTGCAAGCCAGCAGCAGCTGTACAGAATATTGGTAAAATCACATTCAACCTTATAAGAAATTGTGGCACAAAACGCCTGTCGTAATACCTATATTTTGAGAGCTATTCATTTCAAATAATATTTATTTAGGATAAATCAGGTGTAGTTTTTTGGTTGTGTAATTGAGCTAACAGTAGCATGATGGCAAATTCATTGCTGCTTCCAACCTGCCTTGTTCTGATTAGCAACAACATATTCCAGCTCGGTAGTGTAGCATTTTAAGCTGGAGACGTTATGGAGTGACTCTAAAACATTCAGTCCAATGTGAATAATATACATATTTGGACAAAAAGAGTTCTGTCCTACAGTTTCTCATTGAGTTGAATGGGATTTTTGCCAGTGTTTTATAGCACTTGTCCAATATAGCAACTACAAATGCTACAAAACAATGCATTTGTGGGAGGAGCATGGACAGGTCAAGAACCTGTTGTACTTCTACACTTCCCAATTATGAGCCTTATTTACTTCTCTCTTTTTATTGGTGGTGCAAGTGGCCATAGTCGGATGTTGTGATCATAGAGCAGGGACATCATACTTGACTAGCCAATTACATCTTTACTAGCTGATGACTGATCGATATCGAAAATGGCCAAACCTTGCAAAGGCACAGGAGTGAACTTGCTTTTTTAATTTTCCTTTTGTTGCAATCTAATCCGGAAAGTCAAAGAAGATGCTTAACGTGCCCTACACGAGGACAAAGAAAAACGAAGACGAAACGGAAAGCAAAGTGATGGGGAATGTTCCGTCTAGGCTATTAGTGTCTTTGTTGGTTTGTCTGTAGGGTAAGTACCAGGTTGGGCAGCAGACAGTAGGTATGTGTTATTCCAGCTCCACCAGAAGATCGCCCTCTCCCACAGTCTCACCGGCTTTACAGTGTACACTCTTGACCTGAGGGGAGAAAGCACACACAAACCCTGCTGTGATACAGCGTTATATGGTTAAGGAGTAACTGAACATGTGGTATTTGTATCTACATACACCTTCTAATCAGAAACACTTTATTTCACCAAGTATGTTGCATTAAAAAAGATGCAAACTTTTTTTTTAAGTGAGTACAACATCCTCTACAGCAGGGGTGTCAAACTCAACCCCTAAAGGGGCCATATTAAAAAATCTCAACAAATCTGTGGCCCAGAGAAAAAAAAATGTTTTTATTTCATTTTTCATCAATGTTGTGCTAAAACCCGAAGTGACCATTGTTTATTCAAAACATGCAAAAACTTCAGCAGTAAAATATAAGCACTTGTAGTAAACCTTGAAATATTACATGATTACTTGAAATATTCAAAATGTCCCCAGGAGCTCAGTCTTTTAAACCTACCTATTTGCTTAAACTAGACACCTGGCATCTTTTCTTTGCTGCAAGTTCATTAAGACTTGGGCTCAGTTTCTGAGCTGACGTTAAGTGTTTATACTGGTTGAACAGCAGCTGAAATGCAGCTAGTGTGGTTGGTGTAGGATTGAGGTGTAACCGCTGTCCCTTAGACTGCTGTTGGGGTAGGAGATTCAGAGCACGTTACGTTGCAGTGCATGCTGGGGACTGTAGTGCAGTGCAGTGTGAAATGAGCTAATATTAATAGAAAATTAAAATACGTTTGCGGGCCGGATAGGATTGTATCGCGGGCCTGATCTGGCCCGCGGGCCTTGTGTTTGACACACAGGCTCTACAGGAACCAAACTTAAAAATAGCATGCAAATTTGTTTCTACTTCTACTGAATCTTCTTCTAGAAAAGAATTATGCTGATACACTCTGAATAACCGTTTTAACCAACACACCATTCTTCTTAAATGAATATTTTAATTATTTGCCATCTCAAACTTATTAATATGTTAAGGTGATAAATAATAAACAGCAATACTACTTTTTCTAATAACACAACGCTTGTTTGACCCTTCAAATCACCTGTAGTTCCTGCCTGAAGCTCAGCTGCTCACACACTGTATGTTGCCACAAAGGAATCTGACTGCAGTCCTCTTGTTCAAATACGGTTTTAAAGGGCAAATACCATGATTATTACAGTCTCTTAACAAAAAAGATATTTCCAGCTACTGCCACGGTGAATTAAATCATCACTGGATTACCCTTCAGGTGCCGAGAGCTTTTACTGAACTAGGTTTTTAGCTATTGTTTCATTTTTATTCTTCTGTTCTTATTTATTTTAATGTTGCCAAGCTACTGTCTTACATCTGTTACTTCTTTATTTATTTTATTAATTATATTTTTATTTAGCCTTATTTTATCTTATTTATTAAGTTACTATATTGTTATAATTTTAATGGTGTATTGATTTTTTTTTATTTACTACTATGATTAGTATTTCTTTTTAGCATTTGTTATGTTTTTTTTTTTTTTTTACTATTTAACTTCTCAATCCCTGATCTCTGTTTTGGCTCGGCTACGTTGTAAATGAGGGTCTCCCTTAATGTACTTCGAGTTTAAATAAAGGTTGACTGGTTGAAATAAGTTTTAAGTAAGCAAAGCATGGTGCTGATGCCAAGCAATATCAGTAACATCTCTTGAAACAGGTCTTCAGGAGACCTGTGCAAAAATCGTCTTCTAGAGATATGAAAGCAAGAGGCTACAATGATTGAAGAACTGGAATATACACACTGGAGTTGGAATATATATATATATAAATTGAAAAACGGAAAAGACATGATTTTCATGTTCAGTTCATGTGAACTCATGAGTCCACACAATGAAAATAATGTTATAAAATAATCTCACTGAATTACTTAAAGCAACAAATACAAGCCAATGAAACTTATTTTTTTCCACTCATGTAACTATAACAAATATACTGCTTTTTAAATGGAAAAAGATAAATGTGATTAATCGCAATTAAGTATTTAACTCTTCCCAAATTGTAATACTTTTCATATCAGACCACAAGAATGCAGCCTTTGTCTGGCACTATGTAATTAGATTACACCTTTGTGCTAAAAAGCTTATTATAATTACATACTTACACTACTAAAATCTGATTGGCTGATGTTTGCCATGTTTGAAGCCATTGTAAAATACTCAATATATGCACACAAAACATTCTTTACTGCTGATTCTTTTGGTCTTTCATTCAAAATTTTAACAAAAATCTAACGTTTATTTGAGATAATGATTGAAAAAAAAATCCTAAATCTAATTAGAAAATCGGTGTGTGCCATAATTATTGGCACCCCTTCATTTAATACTTTGTGCATCCTCCTCTTGCAAAGATAACAGCTCTGACTCTTCTTCTATGATGCTTAATGAGACTGGAGAACACATGGCAAAGGATCTGAGACCATTCTTCAATACAGAACCTCTCCAGATCCTTCAGATTTCCAGGTCCACACTGTGGACTTTCCTCTTCAGCTCATCCCACAGGTTTCCTATGGGGTTTAGGTCAGGGGACGGGAGTGGCCAGGGTGAACCTTAATTCTGTAATTTTTGTATAACTGTGTCCACACCACACTTACCTCTGGTGTTTGTTACCAAAGACCTCTATTTTGGTCTTATCTGACCAGCCAAACAACTTGTGGTTACGTAGGTGGTGTTTGACTGTAGTTTGGGAGACATTCTGACCCCAAAACCTGACTAATGTCTACAATTCCCCAGCTGTTGTCATTGGACGTTCTTTGGCCACTCAAACCATTCTCCTCACTAATTGTGGGGTCAGTATAGACATATACGTCCTCTTCCTGGCAGATTCTTAACATCTCCAGTTGTTTAAACTTCTTAATTGATCCACCTGATAGTGGAAATGGGCATTTTTCAGCTGTTTAGCTATTTTCCTGTAGCCATCTCCTGATTTGTTAGACCAACCTTTTGTCTCACATCACTGCTGTTTCCTCCGGTCTTTCTCATGATGGATGACTGGAGGAGTTTGGTGTGTGTTTCTGTTCTCATATATATTCCCCAGTGAATCAGGATGTCATGGCTGACCTTTTAAGTGTTTCTAATCACTCAGGTGAACTTTAAAAGATAAAATATGAATGAGAATATACTTCAGTTAGATTTTACTCACAAGAATTCCTAGGGGTGCCAACAATTGTGGCACACACTGATTTAAGAAAAACATTTTCTTCATGACATGATTTTGTGTTTCCTTTTAATCATTATACCTTAGATAAAGGTAAGACTTGTACTAATATTATAAATGACAGATCAAAGGGATAATTAAGTAATTAAGATTACTTCACAGCTCATTATGCTCACGATTAACAGGGGTGCCAATATTTTTGAATGCACTGTATGATCAGCAATTCTGTATTAATGCATCAACTTCCTCTCCCTCCCTGCATCGCTCTACCCTCTCGCTCCCTGCCTCTTTCTTTATTGCTGTCTATCTCTGTCTTGCTCCCCTCTGTCTCTTTACTTGCATGCTCTCTGTCTCGCTCTCGGTTTCTTTCCCTGCTCGCTCTCCGTCTCGCTCCGTCTCACTCTCTCTTTCCCTTCTTGCTCTGTTTTTCCCCACGTTCTTCGTCTTGCTCTCTGTCTTTTTCCCTAATCACTCTCTCTCTTTCCTTCCTCACTCTTTCTCTTTCCCCCTCTGACTCTTCCTTTACTCTCTCTCTGTCCTTCCCCCCTCCGATTCTCTTTCTTTCTGTCTCGCTGTCTCTTACCCTAATCGCTCTCTGTCTCTTTCCTTACTGTCTCTCTCTCTCTGTCTCTCAGAGGGACTGCACTGTAGCTGGCATTTGGAAGAGTACATTCTTTATGTCATGGTGATTAATTGAGAGGAGTGGCAGTGAGGAGGATTATGTATCAAATGTGTGTGTGTGTGTGTGTGTGTGTGTGTGTGTGTGTGTGTGTGTTCACCTTGGCTGTTTTTGCAGCGGTCATGCTGTTCTGCATCTTCATGGCTTCAATCACACAAATCTCTTGTCCCTCTGCCACCTAAAACACACACAAGGACACATAAAATACACACACAACATATTATCTACGGTAACAAAACTGAAATGTATCTCTGAAATGTTTGGAGAAGGAAAAAAGTGTTCCTAACTTTAATGTACAGTCATGCAACACGACTTTAATCAAAGTAATTCTGGATCTTTTCTATTTCTATTGGTCTCTATCATTAAATGTCCACGCAATATAAAAGCAGCTAATGCAGTCAAATGACCAAAAATAAATCATTAATATATACAGTCGTACGCAAACAATTAGGTAACCCAGGTCACATTAGGTTTTGTTGATTTTCTAAGTGAAAATAAGTTACACATCCTCTACAGAGAACACACTTCCGTCCATTTTAATGCACAATTACTGTTTATTTGCTGAATTTGACATATATACGTTCCCTGTAGAGGATGTGTGAACTTATTTTCACTTAGAAACTCAACAAAATATGTAATCTGACCAGGTTCCCCCGACTTTTGTATATGACTGTATACGAGAGTCTAAAATGACTGATATGACTGCATACAGTGCATGTTTGTAGAGCGAGGCAGCGAGAGCAGCTTTGATGATTTCTGATGATTACTCTCCAGCAGAGAACTCCACAGGCCACACTCAATCAAATAAATGTCAGCCTTACATTTACTTCATCAATCAGGCTTTCTATTAGCCATATGGACGAAGAGCATTCTAATAGTCTCTGACAGGAAAAACATAAATGTGTGCGTGGGTGGGTTTTTGTATTTAAAGGGTGTAGAAGCTTCATGGGAGCACAGAGGTTGCACTGTATGTGTGTATAAACAGTATGTGTAGACTTTATACATTCTCTGGAAGTGTAACTATACAGCCTATTGTATTGTAGCAAGGCTCTTGGTTTGATACACGGAAGCATCAATGAATACACATTTTAGCATAATTAAAGAACAAAACACCTTTAGAGACTCTGTGCAATGACGCAGACAACATAGTGTGACACCATAGTGGGCCAATCACAGTCAGAGGGGTGTCTCAGAAGAAACAACAGTGTGATCAAGAGTTCTGTTCAGCAAGCAACGCACAGCACAGTACGAGCTCAAACCACTGTGACATTCTGGCCAAAAAGACCAGCACGTTGTTTTAGTTTGAAGTGGACTGCTGGCTTTACGTGTTAGATCAGGGCTGCAATGGCACGTCCAGTCATCTGCACAAACATCACCCAACATCCTATTTTCATTTTGTTTAGTGTTTCTATGCTGCCAAGAAACCAGTCAGAATGGATCAGGCTACACTCCACTCATTCTAATCCTAAGGTCTAAAATATTATATTTTATAACGTAAAATATTATATAATATAAAACTATACCTATATAACAATAACTTAAAGGTCAATTCCATCAGTTTTTCAAAATTTGGGCATAATGAAATGGTTAAGATGTGAACAAAGTCATTTAGAGTGGTTTAATGTGAAACAGTTGCTCCAGAGAAGCTTGCAGAGACAGAAATGTTATAGGAACCAGAAGTCACAGAGTTTTTGCATGAAACGGTTCTAAACACGCTGCCTCGCGCATGAGAGATTGTTTTACAATAGCTTTGAGAGAAAGTTTTGGCTTAAAACATTTTTTTTAAAAGCCACATACGGGAGAGAAGGGGAAATAGTCCCTAAAGGAAACTTTATTTTTCCCCAGATTTATAGCTATTATCATTATCAACATTACATACAAAAATATAAAAAGAAGACATGTGCAGGTTCATTGGTGGCTCTGGATAGCAAATATTTATATTTGTGGTGTAGACAATGTGACCCCTGGTTCCTATCAGCACCACTGTAAAGAAATTAGAGTCAGTAAGTTTCTCTACAATGAAACACATCAAACCACTCTGACTGACACTGTTTACATCTCTGAATTATGCTGACATTTTTGAAAATCAGTGGAATTCCCCTTCAACATATTAACCTATGGCTCATTTTTAGGAACTCCTTATTGTTGCTGTATGAAAAAAATGTATTAAATATAAAAAACACTTGTGAATTTTTGAAATCCACCCCTATCATGTAGACCAGCATTCAAACCATTATAATATGATTCCTATTCGGGCTGGGCAACATGACAGCATTTATCGTTATCATGATAAATTACATTACAATGTGCTTTTCTGAGCATACCGCGGACATCGTCAGCAGTCTATAAAATGAATGTCATTATAACTTTTTATTTTTTATTTTTAGTGGTTTTTTTTTAAATGTAGCCCTGCTGCTTCATCTTTGTCTGTTCCAAAAGATGTCAGAAAAAAAATATTGTGTATTGCCAAAAGTTAAGTATTATATCAAAAATGATGCAACAATAAAATTTAAATCCAGAATGCCTCGCATTTCAAAAGCCGTGATCAAATCTCGAGGTCAAAACTTGACAGAAAATGAAATTTAAATAGATAATTACATTGTAATTATAATTTCTAATTTCTTGTACCTAAAAAAAACACTTGAACTACTGAGTGAACTACTTGAACTACTAAATGTTTTTGAACTAAAACATTTAGAAGTGACTTTTAGCATCTACACTTTATTATTTACGTCTACACTGTATAAATTATTCTTAAAATAAAATTGCTAAAATGATGATCAAATTCCTAACATTTGAATGGTACTGTATGTGCATGTAATACAGCAATAAGTGAGAGAGCCCTTTAGTTGCAGTGAGTGTAAGCTGCATAAGAGAGAGGGCAATATTACTGGAAGAGGGCACAGGCTGGCTGTAATGTATTAAGTGGAGCCAGTCAGTCTGAGTCTGGCGTATGTATGACATATTTCCTTTCTGAATCAGCACTCTTTCAATCCAGTCTGACAGGCACACGCACTCCCTCTCACTGCATACATTATGAATGCAAACAGCAAAAACATGCACAATCATTACGTCAGAGGGAGCTGCTGTCAGTTAAATGCCATTATGCTGATGGGTTCAATTACACACACACACACACACACACACACACACACACACACACACACAGAGAGTTATGAATGGTGACCTCATCAGTGTGTCCTGTGCAGTTTCTCACCGTGTCTCCAGGTTTAACAGACACAGCCACCACTGTCCCCGGCATGGGTGACCTCAGGATGCTGCTGGTGTCTTCAGGAATCTTCTCTGGCATGTGTTTACTGAGAGATGCTGCCAGCTTACTCAGCACACGCACCTTAAACTGAACACGGGGGAGAGCACGTTAAAGTGACAGTTCAGAAAAATCTAATTTATACCGCAAATGTATCAATCAGCCAACACGTTTGGTGCCTGAAGTTTGGCTCTTCAGTTCTGTACTAGAGCTAATATAGCTAACTAGTAATAGATGCTTATGTACACCAATTAGCATCACGCAAACTGCATAAATAAATCAACACAAACTTGCTTTATACTGTGTTGAGCTGCCCAGTAATTTTAAACAGACGTGCTTAAGTAGTTTCTGACACTGTATGACATACTAAATTGACTTTTTTCCCCCTCTCTACCTCTAGATGGCAGCACAGCTCAAACACACATGCAGACCCACAGAGGTCTTATTTTCTTTTTTCTGCTCATGAGAGATGAGAGGCCTTTAACAAAGCTCAATCTAATTCTATTAGGCCAGGCCTGGCCCTCCACACACAGAGTGACTAAGTGAATGAAAGGCAGCTCAGTCAGCCCCTCTCTCTGTTTCACTCACTCGCTCGCACTCTGCGCCGAGGGCACGAGCCCTACTGCACTGAGTACAGTCATTAATGGAGAGCCATTAGCTTATAATAGGCTGCAGAGAGCTTTAGAGAGGCCTGGCCCCTAACCAGACTAATTACTGTAATGACACTATGAAGATACGGAGAGAGAGAGAGAGGGGGAGAGAGAGAGAGAGAGAGAGAGAGAGAGAGAGAGAGAGAGAGAGAGAGAGAGAAATAAAGCAACACAATAAAGCAAGGTAAAAAAAAAAGACAGCAAAAAGGAAAGCCTGAATAACAGAAATAAATATAAGCATGATACTAGATAGATAGATAGATAGATAGACAGATAGATAGACAGATAGATAGATAGATAGATAGATAGACAGGCAGAAAGACAGGCAGAAAGACTGGATGGACAAACAAAAAATCAGAATCTTTACACAGGGATAAACAGAGAGACAGAAAATGATTGTAGTGACCCTCACTTGATGATGTCATCCTCTAACAGTGGTAATTTTAGCTCAGAGTCAACGAGCAGAGGACACAGAGTGGTACTCGCTCATTAATCACATCTTATAGGAAACATCTGGAAGGTTCTTAACAGGGGAAGAACTCACTTTCCAGGAATTCAGTTAACCAAGTCCCATATCATCCTGAACCACAGGTAGCATGAGGTCAGAGGTTTAGTGACCCCCAGATGACCACTCTGTCACAGTTACTGCACTACAACTCTGGCAGGTACTCCGTATCCTTAATATCTTTGGCTTAGCACTAAGACAATCACTACACTGAGGCTAGCGCTTGGTAATACTGATCAAATTCACTATATATATATATATATAATATATATATATATATATATATATATATATATATGCTACCTATTTTGGACATACTTGTTTATATATATATACACACAAATGACAAATACTATAGTTAATGAGTAATATGGAAACAGCAGACTGCTATTTTATAGTAATTAGATAAGGAATATAAAGCACATCATCTAACATATGTTTGGCTAAAAACTGAAAAAGCAGTATAACAATGTCATTATCAGAGCATACCAGTGTGGACCACTAAAAGGGGGCGGGGGGGGTCGCACAAATTAAATTTTTAAACCAAAATAACTGGCCTACATTTATATCTTGGGACAGTATATCACGCTAAACTCAAGCACCTGTCACTTGGACTCACACTACAAAGACTTGAGACCTGACTTACATTATAGAAACTATTAGAGAGATTTGCCATTTATTTGCACTACAGACGTTTGAGACCATTTAAAATCCCACTATTTAGACTTGAAACATGACTTGGATTCACAATATAAAGAATTAAGACTTGACTTGGACTCACACTACAGAGAGCTGAAACTTTACTTGAACTTGGTAAACATCTCTAGTGTGTGTGTGTGTGTTATGAGAGCAGGCTACACATCCCAGTGAGAGACGCAATATAATACACATAGCACATACCTATGCCCTCACTCTAGACCAGTGAAGTCTCACACAGTCCAGGTGTCCGTAACACCACCACAAATCACCTCCGTGCCAGCTGTGTTGCCCCGTTCTCACCCAAAACAATAACCAGTATCAGCTTAAAGCTCAAACAAACAAGCAGCATTAAAAACACTCTGTACAGGAAGAGGAAGGAGGATCCACGCGCATCTCAGCATGCACTCCGCGCTTCAAACGCGCTGATAGCTATTCGTGGCCCTCAAAGCGCTAGCGTGCTAAAGACTGCCTCAGGAGTGGTTTCCGCCCATTCTGTGCTTTAAGTCACTAGAGCCGCGGATGCTAGCTCCTGTCCGGCTCCCCAGTGAGAGAGAGAGAGCCAGCAGAGATTTTTACAGTTTTTAGGGTTTCCCCTATTTCACCCCCCAAGGGCACTTTTGTGACCACCTGAAAAATGTATAGGTGCTTGTCCACCGGATGGTGCTGTTGTCACTCATCACATAAATCTAAATGCAGTGTAAGAGGTAAATCAGAAGATCGAGCTACTTCAGTGTTGCTAAGAGTGTTTGTATTTTGTCGCTGTCCATTCATTACTTTCAATGTAAGTTAATGTAAAGAGATTTTATTCCAAGCAATTTTGGAGAATTTACGTTGGTCCAGTCATCATGAAACGTCCACATAATGTAAAGGGCATCTGCCATGCTTGAATAACGTGGAAAATTAAAAATTAAAAAAAAATGGAGTTCTTTGGACAGTGATGATTTACTGTTAACACAGTAAAATAGATGGTCCGTTAGAAATCATATAATCGCCACACAATTGTGAGAGAACCTGCACACTTCCACAGGTACTACAGATCAATGGGAAATATACGAAAGTACTCATCCAGGGCACAAGTAGTGCTCATGCGCTGCTCTACCTGGCCAGAGCATTCCTGAACCATAAGACACTGCAATCAACCACAGGACAAACAGGAGAAACCACAGTGTGGCTAACTGACAAAAGTCTGTGACTGCAAGTTTTTGTCTCCTAAGTTATTACTTATGAAGGACTCTTGAAAGGACTGGATTACCATGGACATCCCTCAGTTTATAGTTGATATTCACACACAGGGGCTGAGGCAGCGAGGTCAGGTTTGGGGTGAATCAAGGCCAGGTTATGGTTTAATGATGAGGCTGAACTTACCGAAGTGCCCAGATACTGCAGAGTGATTTCCCCAGCAGAGTTACGGGACAGACACTGAAACCAGAAACAACAGACCAACCAGTTACAAAACACAAGTGATGTGAAGAGTGGAGGAGAAATAATCAGTACAGCGCAAAAGTCTCAGGCAGCTAAGCGCATTATTTAAAGTAGTTTCCATGCAGCTCAGCATGTTACTGCTTGTAAAATCACCATAAATCAACAGAAAGAATACAAATAAACATAAATATAGTAAAAAGTAACAAGAATTTTGCTTTTCAAAAAAGTAGTTGATATCTTGTGAGTAAGTTTGGTTCCAGATGTCTCCTCAACCTCCCCAGCCATCACACAGATTTGTTAAATTCCAAATTTTTCAGCTTCAGAAATGAAACAAACACACCACCACCCTCCAAGTGATCAGGAAGGTAAGTCTGTCAGGATCAGGACAGTGCACGCTGGTATGTTTCCCAGTAACACCTTTTCACATCTATCAGCCTAATAATTATGACTCATTTACTGCCATCGCCACTTTCACTGCAGGTTTTAGTACCATACTAAACCATTTAGTTCAGTGTTTTAATTAAAAAACATTCTTTGAAAAATACAATTACTAGAAATGATCTGACAAATTATGCGCTTTTTTAGTGCAGTAAATTAAAACTGTTTGCTGTTCAGGTTTATTTCCTAGCTGTGTGTAGGTTTATGCATCATCATCTTGTACTTGATAAACTCAGGCATAGACACAGTTTAACTGTACAGTAAACAGGCATTGTTCTTAAAGGAGGGGGGGTATTTCCCCCATCCCCTCCAATAAAATATAAACAGATAATTACAGTATATTATTTGCCATTTATAAATTCTTGTTTTTATTCCCAAAATACTTAAAATATTGAATAAAGCATACAATTTGTTGTGTTGTTTATAATATTTACATTTTCTAAACTTACTTCTCTCCTCCAACTTCCTTACACTTCTATAGTTAGGGTCTAGATTTGGCAGTATGCATTCATCCATCTTTGCAAATAAATATATCTCTGTGTATATTTTTCTAGTGGAAACATTGTTCTTAAAGACAGGCATTTTCCCCAATTTATCCCTACATAGTGCTTGAGAGAGAGACAGAGAGAGGGAGCGAGAGTTTGTGTGTGTGTGTGTGTTCACCTGAAGAACACTGTGGCTGCCGTTAATAGTAAGAGGCAGCAGTGTAGAGGCCAGATTCCACTCTCCAGACACCACCACTTTCTCTCCATCGATCTCCACCTACACAAACACACAGGGAAAAAGTGAGAGGGGTGAGCACACAGCAAGAAAATGAAATTCAGTACCAATCTGTCATCAGTGCTACTGAGTATTCTCACAGGTGCTTCATTCAGTGTGTTTGTGTGTGTGAGAGAGAGAACAGAGCAATGACAGACATCTGGTGTGAGTAACAGTCCACCTGATGCCTTTAAGGAAAACCAGGAATTGTGGTTTAAACCCAATCCCAGCCCATCTGTACCACACACTTCAAACACTTTCAACTCAGAAACACTTGTGTAAACAACAGTACAGATCATTGCCTGTCAGTGCGCATCTAAAGCCTCCAGGACCCCCCAACCTCCAGGACCTTAATGAAAGCAGGGGGTCGATTTTTGAAGAGGCGTCCTGGGGCAAAAAACACAGCCTGTCTGCATCAAACATCTAAGAGGAAAACGGCCAAGCTAGGAACAGAACCCATGAACATTCACTGGCATTCTAAAGTTTAGAATCCCCATTCAGAACTTTGGAATCACTGTTTGGAACTTTGGAATCACTGTTTAGAACTCTGGAATGACCATTCAGACTTTTGGAATCACTATACAGAACTTTGGAATGACCATTCAGAGCTTTGGAATCACTGTTTAGAACTTTGGAATGACCATTCAGACCTTTGGAATCACTGTTTAGAACTTTGGAATGACCATTCAGACTTTTGGAATCATTGTGTAGAACTTTGGAATGACCATTCAGACCTTTGGAATCACTGTTTAGAACTTTGGAATGACCATTCAGACTTTTGGAATCATTGTGTAGAACTTTGGAATGACCATTCAGACTTTTGGAATTACTATACAAAACTTTGGAATCACTGTTCAGAGCTTTGGAATGACCATTCAGACTTTGGAATCACTGTTCAGAGCTTTGGAATCACCGTTCATAACTTTGGAATGACCATTCAAACCTTCAGAAGCACTATCCAGAACTTTGGAACAACCATTCAGATCTTTGGAATCACTGTTCAGAGCTTTGGAATCACTGTTCATATCTTTGGAATGACCATTCAGATCTTTGGAATCACTGTTTAGAACTTTGGAATGACCATTCAGATCTCTGGAATCACTGTCCAGAACTTTGGAATCATTGTTCAGAACTTTGGGATGACCACTCAAACCTTTAGAATCACTAACCCAGTCTTAAGTTTGGCAGCATTGTTCAAAAGTTTAGGATAACCACTCAGAAGTCTGTATCATTACTAAAAAGAACTATTACTCAAATGTTCAAAATCATTATTCAGTCTGTTAAACATTATTCAAAAGATCGGAATCATTATTCAAAAGCTTGGTGTTATTATCCAAAAGTCTGGAATCACGGAAAAATTCAGAATCGTTACTCAAAAGTCTGTAATCATCTCTCAAAAGTTCAGAATCATTATTCAATTCATTATTCTATACACGCTTCTGAAATGACCAAGAAAGTGGCAGAACATCAGTAAAGTAACAGATCACAAAAGTGTAAGTCCACTCCCGTGAGATATAGCTGGTCTTTAATGGATCAAATTCATGCACCTTTAAACCTTCTTTAATTTGATTACACCAGCAGTGGGGAGCTGATCCCATATCACATGAGGACCCCTGAGGGTCCTTTCATCTCATAGCGATGTTCCACAGGTGTGCAAACAAATAGGAACTGACTGATGAGAGAGGGATACTGAAACAAGACAGAGAAAATACCTCTACAGTTACAATAAGTATGTATGTCAGGCATCACCCCTCATTTATTTGATATCCCGTCAAAATGGCCATAAAATACAAGTTATTAATTTTTCAGGTGGTATTTCTGAGGAGATCAAACATAACACACTTCAATCAGGAAAAGCAACAAAGGGTGGTCTCTGACTTTTACATACTCTTTATCTATCTTTTTAATTTAAAATTCTAAAATATTTTATTTGCTTATTTTATTTTGTTTTAATATTCTCAACTGTTGTAACCCTACTGTACCCTTATACGTGCAGCCTATTAACCGCTGAACAGAACTGAATTCTCGAAGTCACATGTGGGACTGTTCACTCACAGTGTAGCTGCTTCCAGAGCGGGACACACCCAGCATGTGAACTCCTTTATCCAACTCCACACACAGCTCCCAGCAGCTCCGCTCCTGAGGAACGCTAGCCACTCTGAGGAGAAAGAAATCAAATCACAAGAATATTTACATGCAAAATAATAAGCTGAAGAACTTCAAACAGTTTTTAAGCACATCAACGCTGGGGCACAATAAATGAAACACTGGGCACATAAACATGACCATGTTCGGGGAACAACATGAGCTGACTAACATAGATGCACTACTGTTCAAAAGCTTGAAATAGCTAATTTCAATAATATAAAAACAACTTTTTTGCTGAGGAACACATAAGGCGATGTTAATATGATCAGTCCTCTGCATCACCATAAATTTTGTTCCCATTTTACTTGGAGAGCCCCCAACAGTTTTTCTGTAGACGTTCAAATATCTAAACTGGCTGGTGACCCTTAATTGATTCTCCACAGTGTTAGGGTTACGATTAGACCACGGTTAGGTTCAGGACCTCAATGAGGGTTCGGATTAGGTTTAAGGGCAGGGGTAGACAAATTTAAGGTGAATTTAAGAGATATTTAGTTGAATATAATTTAAACGTAAGACAAGCATCTACAAAGCTATTATTTGTTACCCATACATTAAAATACGATTAGTACATATAAAAATAAGCACACATACGTTATAGAGAACAAAGTTCTGCATAATTTAATGCACAATTTACTTACTGAATTTAACATATGGGGGAAAAAACTAAACATAAAATTGGTCACATTATATTTTGCTGTATTTTTTTAAATATGTTAAACTCAGAAAGAAATTGTGCAGTAAAATGTCCAGAAATTGCATTTTAGTTTGTTCCCATGTACTTATTTCTACTTTTGTATACCACTGCATACAAAGCAACGAAAATCATTAAGACTGCAAACTTTTGAGGGCTTGTGGGTAACAGCTCTTTTCCAGATGCAGGAGAGTGCAGCTTTCACTTGTTTATCTCCATAACAAAAGGTGACATGCAAAAAGCAGTTTCAAAAACACTGTTTCTCCCTTCGCTAATCCTTCCTCCACAACTTCCTGCTTAAAGAACAGCAACCCTGCTGATGCTGCACACATGTGGCTCTACAGCACACTCACTCACACACACAGGGTCTAGATTGATTGACAGCTCCTCTGTTACCAGACCTAAAGTAAATCAATTAGTGGGAAGAGAGTTTCGTCCACTATGGTGGGCTGCAGTCACTACAAAGAAACACACACAGTCATGAATAACTTTAGAAAACGATCAAAAGTGAGAGAGAGAAAGGGGTGGGGGGGGGGTGTTTAGACAGATGGCTTGTTTGGGGAGTGTGTTGCCTCAGATATAAATGCTCAGTCCTTTTAGAATAATCAAACTGTCTACTCTAGACCAGTTAGTAGATATCATTTCAACTCTGGTGGAGGTGTCGGGGAGGGGGGACACACTGCTTGTCCCACTCAACCCATCATATGATCAGTGCTTTTCTGCTTATTTATGCTAAATATTATTACTTAGTATACATTTAGATGTAAAAGCTTTGCTCTGAGTTTGATCAACTAATTAGCTAAACAAAAGTTTGACAAGAAATCTGCTAGACCTACTAAACAGCTAAGAGACACAGCTTTTATCTGTTTTTAAACCAGGGGAGGCCTAAAACGTGAAGCAGCTAATGAGCTGGCAGTGTCTTACATTATCAGTGTCTGCTCAGTTTACCTTGCTTTAAATACTCTCGTCATTCTCAAGCATTAGTAAAGTGGAGTTAGCTCAGTCACGGTTGTTTAAAAGCAATATCATTGTAAAATAATTAAAACATTAACAATAATATTTTCAGCCAACCAAAAGGAAATCCAACCATATTGTTAAAAAGCTCCACAGACGAGCTAACAGATTAGCTTAAGTAGCTAAAAAACTCAGCGAAGCTTTAAACCCTGTACCTTCTTTCAATAAGGCAAATATTTAAATTAACACAAAAGGTAACAATTCAAGAAGTTTTTTTCAGTAAAGGACTTATTTGAGTTTTCTTCAATAATATTTGCACTTGTATTCAAGTGAATTATCACTGTATCAGTACTCTTATACTGTTCTAGAGACTGTCACTAGCCACGTTTACATGCAGCCTGATAATCTGTTACTAATCCGACTAATAGCTCAATCAGAATAGGATACGTCCACGTATACACCTCAGCCAGAATAGACTAGTCCGATTGAGGCCATTCAAAATACAATACTGACTGAGCGAGGTGGTTAATCCTGTAAATAATCCGTTAAATAGAAGAATAATAGGTGTGTAAACGCCTGTATCTGATTACATTCCCATATGAAAGTTTAAGTACGTTCTGTGCACGTATGTTTGCGTCATGGCGAAAGATTATGATGTCCAACACAGCAAAAGCAGAAACTGGTCCTGTAGAGGAGACGAAGTTTATGCTTTGATCTTTAAAAGCAGAGATGGGACGGACGTCCAGCTTGTGTGTCTTAGAACATGACTTCTTCCTCTCGCCGCTTCCTTAATAAGTACATGCGAAGTACGTTTTCCTGAGTCTGACATCATTTTAAAGCGATTAAAAGCACAAACACTGCTTACTGCTGCTCGTCTCTGACTCGACTCACGCGATTCTCGTTGCCATGGTAACGTGTACACTAAGTGGTACTCTACGCACGCACATAATTTTGGATCGGATTTCTTGTGGTGTGCACATAAACTGAGATTTTGAATCAGACCGTTGAGTAGAGTGAGCATATAAAACCTCAGTATTAATCTGTAATCTGTAACACAGCCACTTACATTAGAGTATCAGAGCTCTTACTTAAGTAGAGATCCTTAGTGAACCACTGCTAACTTATCTTCTCTAGTTTTCATTCACTAACAGCCACATTAGCACTCTTGTGCTCCGAAAAGGCTTCTCGACGTGCAATACGCAACATCTAAACCTACAGGCTCAAGCCCTCTGTAGTGGACTTCACAGGGAGTGGGGAGTTATCTGGAATCAAACCCCTTTCATCTCACTGACCTCTGAGGTCCCAGAAACCTCTGTGATCGGAGCTGAGCAGCCACGTAGAGAGCAGCGGCCGCTGCCAGGAGCTCACGCTGCTCCCCGGTCGACAGCAAGTGACCTTTGAACCCTTCGGGGTAAACCTCAGGGAGGAAGTTGGTGCTGATATCACCGGAGATGAAACGAGGGTGGACGATGATCTCCCTCAGGAGAGGAATGTTATGGGTGACGCCTAAAAGAGAGAGAGAGAAAGAGTGAGATAGAGGGAGAGAGAGCAGGCAAAACACTGTAAATGTATGAAATCACATCATTATGCTAGCACTGCCCAGCTCCACAGCTTCCAAACGAATTAGTAGGAAGCTGTAGGGATGCTGTGGTGATAAAGTGCCACACAATCTGCCAATACTTCAGCAAGAAATTATGTGGATGGGGTGGCTGGAAGTATTAACCAATCTATACATATACAATTTGTAGATATGAACCAGTATATAACACAGGAATGCACTGCAATCAGCACCACAGTGGGGTGGCACAGCGCAGAAACAGCATGGTTCATCCGTCTGGTTTAAAACTGTCTCTAACCTAGCTGTGATGAGATACGTGGTTGTAACAGTGAGTGAGAACTTTTCGAAGTGTACAGAATGACAAACAGAAATGTAGATAAGTCTAAAATAAAAAATGACTGAGAAAGCGGTATAACACTTAGAAATAAGTCATAATAAAATTAACATGCAGAATATTTGAAAAGGGGTTTTTGAAATTGGATAACAAAAAATAATTTACACAGAGATTCTTAATTTTTTTTATTTAATAACTTATTTTTGTTCCCAAAACTCATTTATACATATGCAAGAGTTTGGGTGCCAGTGGTCAGATTATGATGATGAATGATTTGCTGTGAAAATAAGTCAGACATCCTCTAAAGAGAACACGCTTCTGCACATTTTAATATACAATTACCGTGTATTAGCAGAATTTGACAAAATGGAAAAAACAATAAAACATAATGTGGTCTATGCAAAAATTATGACGTTTTATACTTTTAAATTTTATATTTGTTTTATTTTTTCCCCAATATGTTAAACTCAGTAATCAATCAATCAGTGCACTGCAATTAGCAGAAATGCTTTATTTAACTTTGGCGTTTTACCTTATTTTACCTTAGAAAATCAACAAAACGTAATTGATGATGGGTGTTCAAACTTTAGTGTTAAGTGTTTGATTTACAGGCCTAATATTTAAATGTTACCGTATACGTTATTACTGTATATAAAATAAAAACATTATGTAGCATTTTTAGGTTTATTGTGTCCATGTATGAGTCGTTCGTTACCTCTAATGACGTAGTTATCAAGAGCATCTTCCATTTTCCTCAGCGCCTCAGCTCGCGTGGATCCATAAGTCACCAACTACACCATACATGAATTAGTTAATCAGCTCATCAACCAATAAAACTAATCAACGCACCACTGAAAGCCAATAAAACACTTCTGCTTACTTTGGAGATCATGGGGTCATAGTAGATGCTGATGTCACTTCCTTCTTGAATACCACTGTCCACTCTCACCTGGAGAAGAAACGTGAAAGAGAGAGGAAGTTAAATCTCACCATCAAGTTCACCAACCAGGACAGAGTTGAAGATGAAAGTACACTGTGCTAACATCAGTGATAAGGCTTTGCAGTGATGTCATCATTACATCACACTGTTTAATCTAGACATAGTTATCATTTGAAAGTTAGAACCATCTCTGAGACATTATACTCTCCGGTTAACAACCAATAGGATCGAAAAAAGTTTATTGAAATGTGGTCAACATAATGCAAACCAGCATCAAAAGGAAGAAAAGGGATGTATTATCATTTTACTTAATAATAAAATTAAGTTTATTATCCATTTATTTTTTAACAATGATTTATGTTTTACAAGTTCAGTTTCATTTCAGATTATTTAGCACATTTTACAAATTATTTTAGTTCAAATTACATACTAGATTGTAAAGATTGTCCCAACTCGTACTACAGCACTCAAACTAACAACTAGTTAAATCAAAACACCATATTTCAGAAAAAAAACCTTAGTGACCATCTCAGATTTGCTTTAAAGGACTTTTATATTTTCTCTGTTTTTACTTTTTCCTATGAGGTTCACTCACGATGTTTGTGTGGGTTTATGTACCAAGAATATTTGTCATTTTTCACCATAATTTTTTTTTATTTCAGACCTCTCTTTATCTTTTAGAATTAAACAGGCTGTTATATTGTTACTGTTATAGCGGCTTTAAGATATGCAAATAAACTCAGTTCTGATTGGGTATCCTGTATTGCACCTCATTCAAAAAGCAGTCCTGGGCTCCTTACAATTTTGTTGTTAGTGGGTGGAGCTTCCCTGCTGCAACAATGTTTATGAATCTCATAAAAGTAAAATGAGGAAAGGAAAATGTAATAAATTCTGAAATAAAGTAATTACGCTAAAAAAATACAGAAGTTACAGAAGTTTCAGGCTTGTATCTTCCTCAGTTTCAGAGACTCTGAGCCTTTAAAACGAGGCCGTGATCTTTATTTTTGCCTTAAAATCAGTGTTGAGGAAAGTGGAGCAAATATTGACAAGTTATTATTTCTGAACTGTTGATGCTCGATGCATGAAATGTTCACAGATTGGTCTTTGGTTTAAGGTGTATATCTCGAAGTTTACAGGGCACAATGACACTATTTGCTCTAACTACTAAGCAGATCTGAGACGGTCAGCTGAGAGGCCTTTGGAGGTTCCACATGATCATATATGGTGATGCTGCCCTTCTCTAATGTTAAGTACATACGCATGCATCTATTCTGGCTTAATACATAGAACAACAAACAGATGAGAAAGACAATAGCAGTTTTTAAAGCTGGTCTATTTTGGGCTAGGAAGAAACATACTGCCATAATATGACACTACTATAAAGGACTGGAAAAACACTATTATAAACAGCCAGCAGACGCTCTGATCTATTGATCCTGGATATAAAGGGCAGAAGATGAGTGTAAATATCCTTAGTGCTGTTTGCTTTCTTTACACAGATGAAAGGCTTCGCTACAATAGGATCACCATTTAACGTCCTGTTTTTTACTTCCTGATGCGGTTTCACTGTTGATATCTTTCTCTTTGTCGGAGGTATCTCTCTCACACACAGTCAAAATAAATACTTTAATATTTAGTAACACAGACAAATGCAGATGTGCTTAACCACACTACGGCCTCAGCTACAGCATCAATAACGTATTTACTCTAGAGGCAGGAAAGCAGTTAAAAAAAAAATAAATGCATAAAAATAAAGAAACACCCATAGGCTCGGGACACAAACCCAGAACATGCATGCGCACACACACACATAGTATCAAACACTGAATCGCTTCTCAGAAGTTTACAACAAATGCTGTCAATAATACAAAAGAATTTGGTTGATTATTTAAATATGATACAAAAGATTTCCAAAATAATTTGGAAGAAGATAGAAGATAATTCAGAAATGTTTGAGGTGTCCAGCACAGGGCTGTCAAACGATTAAATAAAGAATACTGATTGATCTCTTTCTTTTGTGTTGTTAAATCTGATTAATTGCATTCCCGGCTGGAAAACTCCTTATAACTTCAATGTTAATGAGTGGAGCTAATCTGTCACTGGCTAAATAGGCACAAATATACACAAGTGTGTTGCTTTTCATAGCATGATAAAAAAGTACTGAATAGGCCTTTTTGGAAGTCCATATATGTACTGCATGGACTTGGGAGTGAAAAGTACATTTCAAAACTTTAACAATGTTTACAAACTGATCTCAAATAGGTGAGGAAATATAATACATTTCAGAAAAAATGTCATTGTGCCCAATAGACAGTAACAGAAGTTTTAGGCTTGTGTCTTCATCAGTTTCTGAGGTATAGATTAAAATAATGAATATTGATTGTTTTGCGTAGTTAATCACAGTTAATTGCATTTGTCTTGTTTTCCCATTTTAAAAGCTTTTGTAAAAGCTTTGTTATATCTGTGTGAGTGAACCATTGCAGTCACACAAACCTGCATGAACGTGAAAATCACCTGCTTTTCTTAGAGTGAACACACTTTCTGATTTTCATTAAGAGTGGCTGCGTGTTCCACCCAGTGACCAATACAGACACACACTCCTCCGAGGTTGTAGCCTCTTGCTGTCATTCATACAGCTCCTCCACTTTCCTACTGCTTTTTTTATTCGCTGTACATTGATTTATCTGCTGAGGGCGTCCTGCAGTGCTAACGTTACCGGTATTACTGATATTGGTGCATCACCAGTGTGTTTTGCTTGTAAATAATACTTCAGACTCAACATTCTCTGGTGAAACATAAATTCACAGCATTGCAAACAAATAGAAACAACATATTCTATTAATAACTGGTCTTGCCAAGAGAGCCATCAATAGAACTTGCCATTTAATAAATTTACTTGAACAAGTGCGCTGCAGTCATGGAGTCATAGCTACAGCGCATGAGCAGCTGGGTTTCAGCCTAGAACTACAGATGGCTTGAAACTAGGAAAAAGTGTGAATGGCTTTGAAAATTTTAGCATGTTTATGCATTATTAACACATTAACTTTGTCACCACTGATCCAGGATGATGAGTTACTAAATAAAACATCAAAATCTATTAGTATAGTAATAGTAATAGTGTAGTAATCGATTCTAAACTTCTGAGAAGTTGAGTGTACAGCTTAAAACCGTGATGGTTAAGTGGGACGTATAATGACAAGAATTCTCAGAGAATCATTATTTATTAACAAAGGGTTTCTGATCCCAGTATCAGTCAAACTCAGGCACTGTAAACAGAATAAAGGTTCTGCTAAGAAATCACTAACTAGATGTGTAGAAAAAAGTCAAAGATGCCAATGACAATATATCTCTCTTTTTCTCGTTCTTTCTCTCTCTCCTCCTTTTTTCTCTTTTCTCTCTCTCTCAACAGTTTGAATACTCACTCCATCCAGGTTTACAGGTTCCTCATACTGAGAGAGCCGACCGATGGAAGGAAGACCAAACGACTTATAGGGGTCCTGAAAAGAAGAATGAATGAAAGAAAGAGATAAAGAAGGAAAACAATAAAGAGAAGGAAAGAAAACCAGAGAAAAGGTAAGAAATTGCAAAGGAAAGAAAAGGAAAAAAAAGAAGACGAGGCAATGAGAGAAGACGAAGAGATACGGAGATAAAAACACAGTCAGACAGAGCAGAAACATTATCTCCACCAATAAACCAGGAGACAAGAGATCAAGTGCTCGTCCCCAGAGTGTAGATCAACAAACGACCAGACATATACACCAAAGCAGAGTAGATGTAAAATAATGAAACAACTAATTCAAGCAATTTAAATGAATTAAAAACTTCTGTTATTAACCTTTATAACAGAAGTTGTTAATTATAACTTTATTATTTTAATAACTTTTTATTCAGGACCGATTAAGTACAATTACGTATTTACACTACATGTCCAAAAGTATCCAGACACTCCTTCTACTTACTGAATTGAGCTACTTTAAAGGTGCACCCATTGCTGACATGTTCAATTCAAGCATTGCTAAAAGAAAAGGACACTCTGGAGCAGCAGCACATGAGCCTAAGTTCACCATGCCAAAAGCTAAATGTCAGCTAGAGGGGTATAAAGCCCCCCAGCACTGGGCTGTGGAGCAGTGGAACTGTGTTCTCTGAAGTGATGGAGCTCCATCCAATATCTCTGAGTATTCTCTTTGATTTTTCAGATGCATTTGATAAGGTGGGGCCTGCTGGTTCTCAGCTGTTTGAGTATTTTTATTTGTTTGGTTACCTCAGCATAGACTCTGCTCTCTATAGCCCACCCATTGATAGGGATGTCTTCCTGTTTGTGCAGGAGCTTGTAACCCTTAGCAACACGGATCATCTGCTGGACCAAGTCCAACCCTGTGATGCACTCTGTGATGGGGTGCTCCACCTGAGAGAGAACACACAGATTTATAATAGTCACTAAAACAAGTCCATCCACTAACGGCTAGCTATAGGTGCATTATTTGCACACGTGCATGTGCAAACCAAAGAAAAACAAACAAACAAACAAAAAAAAACAAAACTGGCGCTTTTCTCTGAGCACGCGTTGGCAAAAGTTAGCAAACATTAGAAGTCAAATAAAATAGTGTTGCATCTTTGCCATTTGAAACATCAGGCATTGTGTGCAGGACTGGTCATCACCCAATATTTATAATGTATATACAATCTTAATATTACTGTAAAACCTTATGTCTGGTACTGTATTGTCCATAACTGTAACAGAACACAGTTACCGTTTTTGTAACATAATAACATAACATTGTTACACGTGTTCTGCTACTAGGCAAGTCTGTTTTTTTTGTGCTGGGCGACACTGCAAAAATTCATATAATGAGACACAATATGTATTATGATATTTTGACACACAGACACAATGCATTACTAATGCACATTAAAAAAACACAAAACTGAGTACAATGACTTTTACTCCACATTTCACATTCCATACTGCACTAAATCAAAATAAACAGGACTAATGATGCTGTCTTTTTAATGAAACATTGAGTTGTTCTGTGTTCTTTAAATGCTGGTGATATTCACGATGTGTTAATTACAAAAACAAAAGTTATCACAATAACGATAAAATATTGACGTATGACAACTCTATGTCTGGTCTGTATGGGTTGACTGATGAAGTACTGTCGTTAAGGTGGTGTACAAAGTGTGTAAACAGTCTCTGAACACACACACACACTCACCTGTAAGCGTGTGTTCATCTCCAGGAAGTAGAAGTTTTTCTTTGAGTCGACGAGGAACTCGACGGTTCCAGCTGAAGAGTATTTAACGGCTTTAGCCAAAGAAACGGCCTGCTCACCCATCGCCCGCCGAGTCACTGGGTCCAAAAACGTGCTACACACAAACACACACACAAAAAGGGAGTTAGACACGGTTAAAAACTCACGTCATCATGTTTTTACTTTTCTCTTCTATATTTTATCTGTCAAATGAATTGTACAGAATTTTATATAACTTCCTATACACACACACACACACACACACACACATCTTGTCCATTCATTTGAAGTAACTTAATTTTCTATCACTTCAAGTTAGACATATTTAGAAACTTCCTCTCATAATTACTTATATTTATTTATCTCTCATAAATTTGTCTATTAATTTGATTGCATTCATTTTTCACTTTACAACATATCTAATCTAAAACACCCCCATCATATATTTACTTATCTGTAATAACCTAATTTACCTAATCATTTAATTTAGCTCAATTTTCCATCAGTTTATATGGCTTCCTATCTTTTATAATGTGATTGTACCATTAAGAGTCCTGAGGGACACAAACCATTTAGTATCTGCCAGATTAATGAACTGATAAAATACTGTAATGGTCTGCGTTCCTCAAGACTTTAATGCCACAATTACATCTTTCTTCTGCTCTTATCCACATCTTTTTGCACACCTGGGCGCCTCTTCCACCACCTTCTGGTTTCGCCTCTGGATGGAACACTCCCTCTCGTTCAGCCACAGAGCATTACCGTGCTTATCAGCTAATACCTGCACACACACACACACACACACACACACACACACACACACACACACAAAATAACACTATCATTAAAATCAGCGTAATAGAAAATTGCACACTACAAAAGGGATTCCCAGAACGTGCTTTTGACTCCTGCTGGAAGCTGTTCTTTCACATTTACACATAAATGTTTTACACTTTTACACCTATATCAGCTCCCTTTACCCAAGCCTTAATAATCTGCTGAGTGAAAAAATAAACACAAAATATAAAATGTGTCATAACTTTTGCACAGGCCACATCTTATGTTTTGCTTTTTACCCCATATGTGGAATTCAGCAAATAAAAAGTAACTGTGCATTAATGTGCTCACTGAAGACGATGTGTTTCACTAAGAGAATTATCAAAACACGGGACCAGAGCGCCCGGACTTGTGCATACGTTTGTGCTGTATCTGTGTCTGAATTCTCATCCTAACTCTAACGCAGTTGATAATCAACAGTATTTCCACACAGTTTAACCAATTGAGCATTTGTAGATAAGCTGTAGGGGAGCAAACTATGACTGAAAATTCTATTAATACGGCTCTACTTTCTCAAGCAGTTACTCAATTAAGCTCACCTGGATCTCGATGTGTCTGGGGTTATCAATGTATTTCTCAATAAGTAGCCGATCATCCCCAAAACTGGATGCTGCCTCTTGTGAGGAGAAACGAAAGCCTTCCCTAAAGAGACCAAAAAAAAAATTTACAAGCAGAAGTTTCCAAGCTGTTACAACTGATCAGAAAGTTAAATAAATAACTATTCAGAGGGACAGTTCAGTCAAATATGCACAATTTTTAACTTAATGTTAAAATTAAAAATATATTATTTTTTAGCTACATTAGCCTTGTAGCTCCAGTGCAAACCTAAAGAAGCAGACAGCAGACTAACTACATTGTTGGTTAGGGGGAAATTTTGTAAAATGATTTGTGTTAAGAGTTTTAGCCAAACTGTTGCTTTACTGATCTTGAACAGGTCTTGGGGATTTATTGTCTGGATGGTGATTAGTTTTCAGTTCTAAACAATTATCCATGATATAATACTTATAAAACAGTCATGCTCTTGTTGCCAAGCAGCTTGTTTTTAGTCTTTATATCGTACTTTGAGTTCTTTACTAGAGAAATTATAAAGGAGGAGGCGACAATTCACTGGTTGCAAAATGAACAGTAAATGCTCGGAAAGCTCAACATGGTGTCTTTTAATGGAGAAATTCTCACCCGTCAATAAAAAGAGCCAATTAGATTGCAGATAAAGCGGCAAGCCAGAAAAGCCCCCGAGTCATTTACAGAGAGCCACGCATGCTCAGTAGCCAGAACAAAAGAAGGGAAAAAACACACACAATTTTTACATTATTTGATACAAACATTACAAAATACTTATGCAATTTTGTCACATTTTATCGGTTATTTTTAATATGTTTTTAAAACATTAATGTGGCTTTCAGGTTTGGTTTTAGAGGTCTCTCTCCATTCTAACAAACAGGAGCTTGGTCTTGTATGACCGGACTGGTGCTGCCAAGATGGCCACCATATTTTGGCTTTAATTGTGGTATTATTAATAGCAATATCACAACTGTATAAATGCTAATTAAATACCATCTGAGAGGCTGTGATTTTGTTCACACAGTATATAATCAGTATATAAAGTATATGAATTTGCTATTCATTTTATCAGTGCCACCCTGTCCTAATCTTAAGTGAGACTGAGGAGGACAAACTGAGTACTGACTGCATGACTGATCTCAGAGACAACTGTGTGTTCTAACTGGCTCAGTTCCTCAGACTGCCTGCTCTGATTGGTCAGTTGGCAGGGGCTGGTAAAGTGAATTGGGGGGTGTTGACATGGTGTTAGTGACAAAGCTCTTTTGCTTATCAGATAAAATCTCTTTCGTCTCTTCTCACTCCTGCACTTTCACACTGTCTTGGCTCAGTTTGTGATGAACCCAATTACAACTCAAACAAAGGCACCACTTCACTCCAGAGATAAGGACGGCAATTAGAAGCAACCTCCTTCAGCATTTTATCAACAAGAAAGAGACGACAGAAGATACAGAAACTGACAACAGATCACAGAGATATAAAGAAATACTGATTTATTTTTATATGTTTCATATACAGTATATTACAGTATAACATATATAATAATAATGTATTTTTAGTTTTTTTTGTTGGACTACAACAATATCTATTGTATTACATTGTATACAAGTATACAATACATATGTATATATATTGCATCTTATTTTAGCTTTTTTTATTTTTGCTGGACTACAATGTCATAACTACTCATTTTATCATTTAATAATATCATTCCAAATATATACATGTTGTATATCCATTTGTAACACTTTTGGATATAAAAAGGTTTTTGGAAAGAATAACAACTGACATTATTGGAAAACACATTTTTATTTATCTAATAATGGTGATGATCATAACATAAATCTAACAAAAATAAATATAATAGAAAATTGTTGGATGTGGTTTATGATGTGTCTCTCACCTGGTCTCCTCTTCATTCCAGGCGATCCTCATGCCTTTTCCTCCACCACCGGCTGATGCTTTGATCATAACAGGATAACCTGCCATAGACATCCAACAAACAAGGTTTAAAAGCATAATACCGCAGAGAGAACACTAAGGGTCTGTATGTGGCCCACACTTCAATTTCTGATGCTCATAAGTATGTAATTTACATATTAGTTCCATAGTAGTTACTGAATGTCTCATCGCAGTTGTAGTCTGCAGCTAGTGGAGATCAGCTGGCATGACTGTGTCTGTATAATTCTAACAGGCCAGTCTCCCACTTTTTATCATTTCTGAGGTATGAACTCCTTTAAAGATCTTTTTTTATTGTAGTTCAGGGGGACACTGACCACAGATCAGCTCAAAACAGAAGCTAATACCAGACAACACTGCAGAGAAATATCTCTGGTTTTACTGAATGTTCCTAATATCTCATATAACCAGATCCAAAATTACACACCGATTTGCTGTGCAATCTTCACAGCCTCCTCTGCATCCTAAAGACAAAAACAAAACATTGTAGAAATAAATCAAGGTGTTCACATTAAAAATAACCACAGCAATTCCCCACACACAGTACTAGTGTCCTGCACACCTACAGCTTTTCACAAAGAAATTCTGTAATGTTATTAATGACTGAACTTTAACAATAAACAAACCAATCATATTTACTTCTAAAAGTAATGACTGATAAATTAAATAAAACTGTCTTCAGATCAGTGTGAAAGAAGGAAAGAAAGAAAGGAAGAAAGGAAGAGCCATTAAAGAAAGATGGAAATACGGAAAAGGAGAAAGAAAGCAATGAGAGAAGAGACAGACAAAATGGGACAGAAGAAAGAAAGAAAGAAAGAAAGAAAGAAAAAGAAAGAAAGAAAAAGCCAAGTGAGATGGAACAAGAGAAAAGGAGAAAGAAAGAAATGAGATACAGACAAAAGAGGACATAAGAAAAAGAAAGAAATAAAGAAAGAAAGGAAGAAAGAAAGAAAGAAAAACAGAAAAAAGAATGAAAGACAGAAGGAGGAAAAGGTCACGAGAGAAAGAGAAAGCCAAAAAAGATGCAAAGAGAGAAAAAAATGAAAAGAACGAAAGAAATGGAAATGAAGAAAAAAGAACTAGAGAGAAACGAAAGCAAGAAACAACAAATTTAAAAAGCAAACTGGAATAAAATAAAGAAATGAAGGAAGAAAGAAAGAAAGAAAGAAAGAAAGAAAGATAGAAAGAAAGAAAGAAAGAAAGAAAGAGAGAAAGAAAGAAGAGACGGACAAAATGAGACAGAAGAAAAAGAAAGAAAGAGAGAAAGAAAGACAGAACGTGCGGTTCCCCATCACGGCCAGCAGAGGGAGTCCTGTCTGCTGGCTATGAAAGGCGGGTTCATCACCGCTCTTTTCTCTGTGACGTGTTTCAGTTCAGTTCTGAGAGACGCTGTTTTTCAGAACTGCTTCAACTCAGGAGTTATAAATTCACTGTATGATGAGAGGAGAAGGTGAACAAACCAAACCAAATCACCTTAATCAGAGTCAGGTGAGAAATCCCACAGCGCAGGTACGCCCTAATCTAAACGAGTGCTGTTTTAGCGTGTGAGTGTGAGAGGGTGATAGCGATCTAGGGGGCAACGCAGCGGCCGTTAAACAGACTCTCTCATATGCTAATATCCACTCAGATCTGCTGCCTTTGTCTGCGGCCAGAGAGCAACACTGCTCCACTTTATAGAGCCAATAAGGTCAGGAAGTGTCAAAACAGCCACGACGAGGGGTCATTAAAACACACTTACACAGAGAGAGAGAGAGAGACAGAGAGAGAGAGAGAGAGAGAGAGAAAGAGAGAAAGAGAGAAAGAGAGAGAAAGAGAGAGAAAGAGAGGGGAGTGATAGAGAGAAATGAAGAGAGGAATGGGAAAAAAGAAAAAATATTTCGGAGAAGAAAAGCTAGAGAACAAACATGGGAAGAAGAAACAAATAAAAGTAAGAAAGAGGCAAAGAAACAAAGAAGATTAAAGAAAATTAAGAAAGAAAAGGTAAAAAGTAGTAAGTAAGAATGGGAAAGAGAAAGAAAACAATCAATTATGTACAGACACAAAGAAAAAAAGACAACAAAGAAAAATAAGAGGATTTTTTAGATAAAAAATAACTCATATTTGCAGGGTCTAAGAACAAAAGACGGAAAGAACAAAGAAAAACAAAAATGAAAGAACAAGTATTTTCAGAGAAAAGTTAAGAAATACAGAAAATAAATAAATAAATAAAGAAAGAAAGAAATACAAAAAGAAATGCAGAAAGAAAGAAATACAGAAAGAAAGAAAGGGAGAAAAGGAAAGACAGAAAGAGAAAAGGAGTGAGAGAAAAATAGACAGAGAGAGATAGAGAGGGATAGAGAGAGAGAGAGAGAGAGAGAGAGAGAGAGAAAGAGACAGACAGAGACAGAGAGAGCAAGAGAAAGAGAGAAAGAGAGAGAGAGAGAGACAGACAGACAGACAGACAGAGAG